GTGAAAGGTTATTTAAACAAAGATTTCTTACTTTCTTTTGTCTCAGTGATATCCACTGACCCTTCAGTCAAATCCTATTGACTATATGTTTCTTTTAACCCTTGTGCTACCCTCTGGTCAAAAGACCCTCCATAGAAGATTAAAAGTAGAAGCATTTTAGGGTCTAAAAGGGTCTGACCCAGGCCTGGTTAAGTTAGGGAAAATCCTCAATATTCAGCTATGAAAAAAGGGGGTATTTTTTTGTCCCTGTGGCTGGTCAATTTGACCCGAGGATTGCACAAGGGTCAAGAAGATCAAAATGTAAAGTCTTGGAATCCCATTCCCACATGTTTAGGTGGTAGACTTCTGGCTCTGTCAGACACCTGTGATGTTGTGAGAGGGAGGTACGGATGGAAAGCATTTTTTTCCCTTTGTACTTTTGTGTTTTTAAATGTTTGTTTTACATTCTAAAATGGGGAATGTCATAATTTCTAATGACAACTGCTTCATAATTGATAAACAACAGGGCTTGTTTATTTCAAAACAAGCTCTGTTGGAAAGATCTTTCCAAACACTGTGTCTGCTCTATGTCCTGCTCGGCCAATAGGAAGCCAGTGTTTTTTTCCGTGGGGAAACTATGCAGATGAGGCTTGTGTCGGTACTGTGACATATTGTGGATGTCCTTTGACTTGAGGCTGAAACCTCTCTATAAGAAAGAGGTTCTAGATGTGTAACATCCACAGCCAGACTTTTCCATAAGAGAAGTAATGTAAGCAGCATTTCCATGAACTTTTGTCTCACGCCCACATTTCCTGGAAGTGTGCAGTAACAGCAGAACTCAGAACTCATGGAAATCAGTCGCTTCTCTCTGTGAGCTCCGGGTCTATGCTTTGGAGCTCTGAATCCACATACATTACATTCAGTTTTAGAACCATTACATTTGTTATTATTTTCATTTTGCATCATTTTTTAACACTTGAACTCTGACTCTGAAGTTGGAGTCATTTTGAGCAGTCATTTTCATGGCCCCCATTCAAATTGATAGAATTCTGAAAGAAATCGTGTTTTCTCTGAGTTTACTCTGGTAATTATAATCTGAGGTTTATGTTTCTCTATGATGTCTGCTTCTTATGACTCTATGATATCTGCTTGAATGTGAATACAAGCAGATAGATGCTGGGAGATCACCGTTCATGTGAGAGTGGTCGGTTCAGAGAATAATGATGTCTTGTCTGTTATAAGGTCCTGTAATCCTGAATTCTCAACGTTTTTGCACTCCCTTTTTGCTTCAGTTTATGTGGAGAACATATTAAATTTGACTTTTAATATTTGTAATGTCTTTGAATAATATGTGAGACATACATCTCAATATATCGCAGAAAATATTCACAATACATAACATGATCGCAATAGTATTGAATTGTAGCCCAAATATCCCAATACTATTGAATCGTCACATTTTTGCCAATTCCCACCCCCTAGTTTGAATGAAATTAATACAAATTATATATATATATATATATATATATATATATATATATAAATCCTGCGACATAGCTACTGTTGTGATCTAGGGCTATACAAAAATACATTGAATTGAATTGAGCTTTGGAAAGAGTTCTGACAATATCATCTACAAACATTAATGTATTTTTCCACCACATTACACTTGCGTCACACACTGATGAATCAATGACATTCTATCGGATAAGTGCCTTCCTGCTGTGGACACTGTTGTGTGAAACTCTGGCAAAAGAAAGTGGAAGAGGTGAGGTGCCAAAATGAGGCCCTGTTTATACTGAGACGCTGCGCAGACGTTTCCAGGCTATTAACAGAAACGACCAGGCTCCTATTGCAAATTTCTCAGCGTTCACATGAGGTTGAAAAACTATGTAGTTCTAGCGCCTGGCCAGTAGTGGGCAAAGAAACTTTACAACACGACCCCCAGCCCCGTGCCCAGCCCCCCCCCCCCTTGGCAGTGTACTCACTTCCTGTACCAGACCCTCAGAACGCACCAACATCATTCTGCATTTTAACAGCAGCTGTGAAAATGGAAACTGAGCCTAGAGCTTCGCGTGGTCTTGTTTGGACAAACGAAGGAGTAGAATTATCTTCTGTGCAGCGCTGGAAGCCCACGAAGCTAGTTAGTGTAACCGCCGCCATTGTTGTTGATGTTTGTTCTCCGCTACTGCGCATGTCCAAATTTACGTGCGGGGAGCAGCGCGGAGGTGGGGGTCAGAGCAGAGGGGGATTTCACACCTTTTTCCCTCTCGCGGGTGTGAAAGAGAGCCCCCGCTGTGCAGCGTTTCTGAGTTGTCCCACTTTGCAGGCTGGATCTGAACACTTACGTTTTCCCCCCCCTGGAACACAGTCTCCGTATGAACGGTTGGTAGCAACCGACATCCAACTATAGAGGGATCCTACGGTCACGTGACTAGCAGCCACGGCAGCCATACTGGAGGACAACCTCGGCGAGCCCTGCTAGCTATCTATAACTGGACGTTCAAAACTAGAACTCTCTCGAACTACATGAAAACTGAACAGAGAATTTGAAACTTCAGCAGTTAGTGACCCAAATATATACTCAACCTAAATTCATGAATCAGATCCTCTGAAAATGCATCCTAAAATGTATTATTAATGTTTATCGTTACATCCAGGTTTACCGCGGTCGCATATTGTCGCATTAAAACCGTGTTTTTTTTATGAAAACGTGAACAGAAAAATCTGAAAACCTCTGTGCACGTGTATTAAGAATGTATATGTATAATGTATTCTCCGATTAACATTTAATGTGTTTATTGTTACACCATGGATCTATGTGTGGCTACACTGCAGTGGAAATAATGAGATTACATTCAAATCAATGGAGCTTTCTGCGTCTACTGTGAGGAGCCGTATATTTTATTAATAAATACTAGTACGGGGCACCCTGGAGCACGGCTCAGTCGTTCACATGTCTGCTGGCCTTTGGTAAGTCAGATACCCTGTGAACCGGGTGAGGGCCTGTGTGAGACCAAATATATAACAGCTATGCGACAAGCTAAGCTACAGTCTATGGAGCAACCCCACGTTGCAGTCAGACAGATATGTTTTATCCTTAAACTTCTGTTTGTTTCGGAATAACACTAAATCCGCCATCAAATTGATTTCACTTAGCAGAGATGAAATGATCCGAGCATATTCGGGCGCTCTGGTGGCTATTAGTTTTTTGTTGTTGCGTATGGTTGTGCCATTTCTCTCTCGTTTCTTTGAGATTTCTTCTGTTTTTGAGCCGTGTGAAGTAAGGACGGCTGGCAGTCGGTAACACAACTTATTTTCCCTGTCTCTCCTTTTGCTGCAGCCAAAAACGGCAACAATTTTGAACATGTTTATGCGGTCCTGGGTGCACGCCACTATCATACAGCGTTTGCTTGTCCTCCAGTATGGCGGATGCCCCGCGAGGTCGAGGCATCGTGACGTCACGTGAGATATCTCTATACCGTTTTACTGCCACATTGTCTCCGTGTAAACTCAGCCTGAGTGTCGGCACAACTGCTGAGAACAGTGAGGCTTGTAGATCACCTCCACACCAGTCTAAAATCCAGTCTAACCAGCATATGCAAACACACACACACACACACACACACACACACACACACGCTGTATTTGTTCTAGCTTTTAGGTCCGTTGTTAAAATCAAACAACAGAAGATGCATCAATTTCCATGACCAACATTTCATTCTTTCGTTGCTTTCTGGCATGGGGCACTCGCAAATCTCCTGTCTTAAGTAACCACCAGCCAGAACATTAATCCTAAACACTGTCGACCTGACCTCACATGTCTGGCATCTGTGCAATAATGAACCAATGTCAGAATGTGCAATACAGAACCACATGTGTGTCCACTGTCACTTTGTCCCAGGCCCTAATGCTGCTCATGTACAGATGTAAACATACTATATATTTCCTGCACGAGATGCTTGCTTCTTTACTCTGTTAAAATTAGAGATTATATTTTGTTTTAATATAGTGTAATTGTTCATTTATCTTGTGCTGTGTGCTCCTCATTCCTTCTTTTCTGTAACTAGTGATGCAACATTGACATTTCCCAACTGTGGGACTAATAACTTATCTCTTGATCTTAATCTTGTGTCTGACATTGATGCTGTTATAAAAACTGGACCACAATACACCTGGACTCCCTGGAGGTGGTTCATGTTCTGCTGCTGTTTCCCAGAATACCGTGAACAAGACTTTTCAGCTGTAAATGGCACATTCTTTCAAGTTCGAACTTGCTCCCTGTGCTTCTACTGACGTCTAGGAATTTAGATAATTTAGTTTAGGGTCTCGTGTTGTGTGTCAGTACTGTTATGGTATTTAAGATGCACTATACAAAACTGTGCACTATTGTTCTGAGATGACTGCTGTTGTGATTTAGGGCTATACAAGAATAAGTTGTTGTTGTAATTTATGTATTGATTTGTTTGTATGGATGTGTTTCTGCCGGACACTTTCTCCTACGGGGATCAAGAAAGTATCAATCTATGAATTTGATTAATTGTATTTATTTTTGTGGCAAACCTGTAAGCACAGTCCACTGCAACAATGAAAATTCATGAGTGAGTTTTGAATTCATACACTGCAAAAAGTGATGAAAAGTAATACAAAAATGGCTCAAATTTGGCAAAATGCATCTTAATTTGAGCACAAATTGTCTTAAAACAAGATTTTCCAATGGGACAAAGCAAAGTTGTCCAAGATTCACCAAGATTGAAGAAATGTCTCCATTGGAATGAGAAAATAAAGCAAAAGTTCTTGAAATAAAACTGAATAACTTTGTCCTATTGGAAAATCTTGCTTTAAGACAGTCACAAACAATTATTACCACAGTTTATCATTTTTTGCAGTGTTTCCCAATCTATTGTTGGACACTATCAACACAGTCCAGAATTCCACTGTGTGTTAAATGGAGCGTGTAAATGATTACATGTATAATTCCTTGTCACTGATCCGTCCTTGTGTCTGTGTTTTTCGGACAGAAATGGCCGCCATCAGGAAGAAGCTGGTGATCGTGGGCGATGGAGCGTGTGGTAAAACCTGTCTCCTCATCGTGTTCAGTAAAGACCAGTTTCCTGAAGTCTACGTTCCCACTGTGTTTGAGAACTACATCGCGGATATCGAAGTGGACGGGAAGCAGGTCTGTGTCCCGTTTGACAGAGATACAACAACAGTAGACAATAGTAAACTGTGAGGGGCTAACTAACGTGTGAGGGGCTAACTAACGTGTGAGGGGCTAACTAACGTGTGAGGGGGCTAACTAACGTGTGAATTTAAAGAAAACCGAAGAAAAAAAGTTCAGGATGACAAGGGACATTATAATCCCCACAAAATTTGACCTTTATGAAAGTTGTAGGTTCTCTGTCAGCTGAGGTCGTGCTGTTTTAATTTACATTGAGTTCTATAGGACCTTTTTCTGGGTAGCTCGCATGAATTTAGTCTGCTGTACCACGGGCGCCCCCTGTGCCCATGGGTGGGACAGCTGTAAGCTAGTAATACCCTATCCATTCATAACTTCTCCCCATACGTACCTCCAAAGCCACCTAGGGCGTCCAACTCAAATTCTCCCACAAAATCCACCCGTCCCTCAAATTCTAACTCGAATTCACCCGCAAAATCCACAGGTCCCTCCCCTAACCCCAAAACCCCAACCATTCCACCCCCACCCCCCCCTCGTTTCCCATCACCAAGAACCCCTCCACCTCCACTCCCCCCTCGTCTATCTCCCAACTCCTGCCCCTCCCCTAACACCCATCCACCTCCAACCCCCCCTCGTCCAACACCCAAGAACCACCCACCTCTCCATCCTCCTCCCTCCTCTCCCTAGGATGCACAGGGTCTCTGCTTCGCAGCCACTGGCAGTCTAGTTAGAGGAGAGACCCGGCTGGGGCCCTGTCATGAAGCCACCTGTGCCATTCCCTTAGTGATAACACAAAGAATACATTACAGAAAGACATCTGGAGTTAATCAGTCTAATCTGGAAAATCTCATTCTTGTTCCGTGTAAGAATCAGCCGACCACAACCGCTGATACTGAAACTTTGAAACTTGCTATGCTAAATGTCAGATCTCTTTCTAACAAGTCTTTTTTAATCAATAATTTTATTTGTTCTTATAATCTTGATCTTATGTTCATGGCTGAAACATGGCTTGACCAAAATACAGAAAATGCAGTTTTAATAGAAGCATCACCACCAAATTTCAAATTTGAATCTGAAATACGGGAAAACAAAAAAGGAGGAGGCTTAGCTGCCATTTTTAGAGACCACTTTGTCTCCCATAGAATGTCTCTTGGGAAGTTTCCGTCTTTTTGAATATGTGTCTTTTAAAATACAACAAAAACAATCTCCTCCAATACTCTTCATAGTCCTATACAAGCCACCGCAGTCATGTCACAGATTTATTGATAATTTTACCGAGTTGCTTTCAGTTGTATGCACAGATTTTGATAGTTTAGTTATTACAGGTGATTTTAATATTCATGTGGATAATGTTGATGACAGAAATGCAAAAGAGCTGAGTTCTTTACTTGATACCTTTGATCTCACTCAGCACGTAAGTGGCCCCACCCACAGCAGAGGGCACACTCTAGACCTGTTAGTTACAAAGGGGGTGAATATTTCAAATATAAGCGTGGTCGATGTTGCTCTTTCGGACCATTTCTGTGTATTTTTTGACATGTGTTTCACTAACAAACCACCAGTGGACTCTGCAACTGTTCAAAGAAGGCGCATAAATGAAAATACAAGTGAACTATTTATGGGAATGATAAACTTTGAAAATGCATCGTATTCTACTGTAGATGAACTGTTTAACTCTGTCACCTCTAGTGTTTTGAATGTTCTGGATACCGTTGCCCCTGTGAAGGTTAAAATAGTGAAAAATAAGCAGAAGGAGCCGTGGGCTAAAGCAGACTCGGTCAGGGCACAAAAGAGAAAGTGCCGGAGGGCCGAGCGGAAGTGGCGCAAGTCCAACCTCCAGGTTGATTACAAGATCTTCAAAGATAAGTTGTGCGAGTTTAACCGGGTGCTACGTAGTACGAGAGAAAGGTATTTTTCTGAAATGATTGAAGGCTGCAGCAACAATCTGCGTGTTCTGTTTTCAACAGTTAATAGATTAACAAACCCCCCTGTTCAGATGCCATTAGAGCTAACTTCCAAACGTAAATGCAATGAGTTTGCACACTTTTTCAATGACAAGGTTCAAGGCATCAAAAACGCCATTGTCTCCAATCCACAGATAACCATCCAACAGCCAGAAAGGCTCTCTGAGCTAACTTACTTTGCACCTGTAGATGATAAAAATGTCCAAGAAATAATCTCCAGTTTGAGCTCCTCCACATGCAGCCTGGATGTACTACCCACTAGATTTCTGAAGTCTGTTCTGAGCAGTCTGTTACCTTCACTCACACAGATAGTAAACATGTCCCTTCATTCTGGAATATTCCCAAAGGCCCTGAAAACTGCAGTCATCAGGCCCCTGCTAAAAAAGAGCAGCCTGGATGCTACGGTACTTAACAACTATCGTCCCATCTCAAATCTGCCATTTATGGGGAAAGTCCTTGAAAAAGTTGTCTACCTACAGCTTACTAGATTTCTTATAATTAACAACTCATTTGATATGTTTCAGTCCGGCTTTAGACCCCACCACAGCACTGAGACTGCTCTTGTCAAGGTTACAAACGATATCCGGCTGAACACTGACGCAGGCAAAGTCTCAATCTTAATCTTGTTAGATCTGAGTGCTGCCTTTGACACCGTCGACCATGAGATCCTCTTACAGAGACTAGAGGACTGGGTTGGAGTCGCTGGCACCGCCCTAAGTTGGTTTAGGTCTTACCTTGAAGACAGGAAGTACTTTGTGGAGATTGGAGACTGTGTCTCAGATCATATGGCCCTGACCTGTGGAGTCCCACAGGGGTCGATCCTGGGACCTCTTCTGTTCAATCTCTACATGCTGCCGTTAGGTCAGTTAATACGCAGAAACAAAGTTTCCTATCATAACTATGCAGACGACACTCAGATCTATGTCTCACTGACTGCAGGAGAACATGGACCAGTGGACTCACTCCTTCACTGTATCCAACAGATCAGAGAGTGGATGCAAAACAACTTCCTTCAGCTAAACGCAGACAAAACTGAAATGATTGTCTTTGGTCCCCAGAAACAAAGAGAGAGCGTCATCTGTCACCTACAGTCTCTCTCCCTAAAACCTTCAAACAAGGTCAGAAATCTAGGGGTAATACTGGACTCAGACTTAAATTTTAATAGCCACATCAAATCAGTAACATCAGCAGCTTTTTACCATCTAAAAAACATTGCCAGGATCAAAAACATAGTGTCTAAAGCAGACTTGGAGATTCTTATCCATGCATTTGTCTCCAGTAGGTCAGACTACTGCAATGGCCTGCTCACAGGTCTGTCCAAACAGGCTGTAAAACAGCTGCAGTACATTCAAAATGCAGCAGCTCGAGTCCTGACTAGAACCAGGAAGTACGACCAAATTAGTCCGGTCCTCAGGTCCCTGCACTGGCTTCCTGTGGCTCAGAGAATAGACTTTAAAACAGCTCTGCTTGTGTACAAATCTCTCCATGGCCTCGCACCAAACTATATTAGTGACATGTTAGTCCCATATGAACCAGCCCGGACTCTGAGGAGCACAGGGACTGGACTCCTGTTAGTGCCCAGAGTCAGAACTAAACATGGGGAGGCTGCTTTTCAGATTCATGCTGCTAAAATCTGGAACAGTCTTCCTGAAGATGTGAGACAGGCCTCCTCTCTGACAATGTTTAAGACAAGGTTGAAAACAGTTCTGTTTAGCTGTGCATACAACTGAGGGATTTTATATTTTTATCTTTTTTTAATGTACTGTGATTATTTATGATTTTAATGCTTTCTTGTTCTGTTCAGCACTTTGAATTGCCTTGTGTATGAATTGTGCTATATAAATAAACTTGCCTTGCCTTGCCTTGCCTATCCAGTTATTATAGATCCATGGTGAGGAGCGAACGTGTGAGGGGCAAACGTGTGAGGGGGCTAACGTATGAATGAGTTAGAAGTTAGTTACTTAATTACTTTTTCTTTTTTTTTTAACAAGCAGTCTTTCAATAAATCTCCTTTTGATATTTGGCCCTGTTACGGTTGAATCCAAATGTATATAATATTCAAACTCGTGTCGAAAACAGTGAATTTAAAAAGAAAAACCAAATTATTCATACCATTTTACACCCCCCCTCGACTTAGATTACGAGAACTCAATCACGAGAACTCCTAGAGCAGTCAATTTGACGGCTTTTAAGTTTTTGAAGTAAACTCAAAGGCTCAGTTGGAGGAGTATTGGCCTTTGAGCCTAAAGGTTGTGGTTGGATCCCCCTATGAGACCTTCTGCACCTGCTCCTACTGCTGTCTGCTGTTATTAAATCCTTGGGCAAGACACTTCACCCCACTTTGCCCAAAGCCCTGGCTGAAAGATCAAGGTTGTGATGGATGGATGATTTTCAAAGTTTTGTTCTGTATTTGTAGTTTATTTCTATAAAATAATATTTTTAATATTTCTATATATTTTAAAATTGTGTTTAGGTACAAAACCATATAAAAACGAATTATTCTTGGGTCAATTTCTCAGAATCCAATTGGTTTGAATGAGAGCAGTCAAAATGAAGGATAAACACTAGGAAACACTAGTCAGCAGCATCATGAGGTTTGTGGTACGGTCAGCACTAGATCATAAACGGAATCGGGACGGAAGCGGAAATAAATATAACAAAATACCTATTCATGCCTAAACTTAACCAGCCATTCCCATAAAATAACCCCAACCCAGCCTTAACCCTAACCTTAACCATCTTAATTAGACGCCTAAAACTTAACCAGTCACCACTAATTCTAAAGTAGGATTGTTGCTTCCGGTTTCGTCCCGATTCCGTATATGATCTAGTGCCGACCTTTGTGGTACCACCTGCAGGTGAAAGTCAGACCTCTGAAGCTGAGCAGGGAATGACCTGGTTAGTTCTCTGATGGGAGACCTCTGGGAACACCAGGTGCCACAGTGGGGTGACTGTGGCTGTAAAGTGTCAAACTGTTGTTGTGTCCTTAGGCTAGTTTTTGAGCGTCCAAAAAAGAGCTTTAAAAATTGATGCATTCAATTGATAATTCTAGTTCAAGTTTGTGTCTCCTGTCCAGGCTTTGTTCTGTGATGCTGACCACCGCTGCCAGATCACCACTTTGCAAAACAGGAAATGACTCCACTTTCCTGCTTCCTGTTCAGACGGTGAACAGGAGTGTCTCTTGGCAAAACCCTTCCCTCACAGCCCTCTCTCGCCTCTAAACTGATAAACACCTCCCATTTCCTATAGGCCACATTTCATGCAGGGAAAGGAGAGGTGGAGGACGACTTGTGGACGTTGCCAACTTGGAAATGGCCACAGCTCGGTTCAATTCAATTTATTTATGTATAGCCCTAAATCACACACTGCAAAAAGGGATAAAATGTGAGAAAGATCAAGTGTTTTTTATATTAATCTGAGATTTATCTTTTTTTCCATTCCAAGGAGAAATTTCTTGTATCTGTTTAAAACAAGATGATTTTGCTTTGTCCTTTTGACAACTTGTTTAAAGGGAGTCAAAATGTTTCCAAATATGAGCAATGTTTTACTTATTTCTCATCACTTTTTGCAGTGCACCAGTAGGTATTTCTGAAGACTTTACAAAGCTGTTGATTCGCTAACACAGATCAGAGAATCAAACCGTTCATATACAGGAAATGCAATGATACAAAATAACCAAACACATATTCACAATATCAATTTATATGGCTCCCACAGAAGCCATTTTTTGGCTCTCTCGGCTGAAAAGGTTCCCAACCTCTGCCTTTGACCTTCCTGCATCAGCAAGAAATACCTCAGTGGAAAAACGCAGTGGGAGAAAAGTGAGAAACCTTGAGGAGACTCATTGAGAGAGGGACCCACAGACGGGACAGGGTTTATATCAAGGACTCAGGCTGTAGAACGAGGAACGAGGTCACGCGGTGCAGGACTGAGGAGGCTCCCTGCTCGAATTCATGCCGTCATCAGCGAATGTTTTGTTGAGCTTTTTTGTTATGGTTTGCACAGATTATATTATACCATGTTCTGCTCAATAAAAGCTACTTAATACTTCCAACCTTAATTAACAAGAGCTTTCTCAGGACTTCGCTTCAACTGTCATAAACGGCACATTAAGACTTGCACTGAAATATTACCACAGTTGCTCTCACTTTGACTACAAACAAGAGGTAATTTGATGTGGAAGACAAATACTTCTATGGACTCTATTTCTCTTGTACATAGTTGTAATGATGAGGAAAAAAATAAAGAAAAACTCGAATCAAAATGAAGTGTTCTGTTGCTGGGGTGAAATAACCTCACTCTGCTGCGCCTTCAGGACCTAAAATAGATGTTTTTCTCTCATTTCCTCCCCAAAGACTGCAGCTCATGCTAAGACCAGAGAGAGAATTAGCACCAACTCCGGCCTCTGCAAACTGCTATTCCAGGATTATTGACTTGTTTGTTCTGCTCTGTACGTTTAGCAGTCAGGTCTAAGGACAGTGGTGACGATCCAGGACACTCAACAATCAACAAAATCTATGAACATTGGTCATCTGCCCCTGATGGACCAATGCCTCACAGTGTTTGTTATCGTTGCCTTTCCTGTATTTGAACTGTTTCACTGCAAAAAGTCACTGCAAAATGTATCATAATTTCAGCACATTTTGACTGCCTTGAAACAAGATTTGATCTTGTTTAAAAAAATATATAAGAATAGTCTCCCTTGGATGTCTTGTCCCATTGGTAAATCTGTTTTTAACACAGTCAGAATGTACTCATTAAAATTAAAATAAAAACACTTGATTCAAGCAACTATTACCTCATATTAATTTTATAGTGTTGTTTTTTAGCTCTTTGCTGACCAATCGATAGCTTTGTAAAGTCCTCCAAGATAACTACTGTTGTGATACAAAAATACATTAAATTGAATTGAATCTTGCGTTGTTTTGTGAGTCTGTAGAACATACGGCGACACACATGGGCCGAACAGGAAGAGGAGGTAACTGGTTTGATGCAGGCTAATCTCCCACTTTGCCTAATTGAATTAATGGGTGGTGTGATAAGGATGAGGCTCATTCCCACTACACTGACTACATAACGGGCTTAGGCTGGTGCGGTCAGACAGGCAGCAGCCCTGGACTCTGCACTGGAAGAATATTGTTCAATAAATGTCTATTCACCAACACAAATGTATTATTATTGTTATTATTATTAATGTATTTTGATGTGTAGTTGGCAAGTACTGTACAACATTGCTTTACTGACTCCATGAATTCTTAATGATTTCCAACGTCCTTCTATATTAAATGTATAAATGTCTCCTGCATTCAAAAAGCAGCCACGCTATGAAAATAATGTATAAAGTCCTGTATTTTCTGATATCTGTCTTTATTATTTTTTATTTCAGGTGGAATTGGCGCTTTGGGACACAGCCGGACAAGAGGACTATGACCGTCTCCGGCCGCTGTCGTACCCGGACACTGACGTCATCTTAATGTGCTTCTCCATCGACAGCCCTGACAGTTTAGGTGAAGTGTGTGGAGTTAAAATCTCCATTCTCTGTGGAACTTGTTATTGTGGGAATAGATTTTTTTACAATTAGTTTTAACATTATGAAGGTTTGCTTTTTGACTTTAAAAATATGCCATTCGGCTGAAATCTTAGCCGCTAGCCTGATTGCCAGTAGCTTGCTTTCTTCCTGCTGACTTTAGGAGATCACCATGGCAACAAGTGCCGCACAGCTGTCTGCTGTTGTGACGCTAATGTGAATAAAAAATGTGGGTATCAGTTGCTGGAATCATGTCCTATGGTATGAGTAAAAGTACAAGGCTATGATGTCAACCCAATACCTGATACCAGTATCGGTGCATGCAGTTAAAATAAATTAAATCAAAGGGTCATCTTCTTGAGCAATTCAGCTTTAAAATGAGGGATACATTACAGACTATGGTAGCAATGCTAACATATTAGCATAAATGCTGCAAGATTAAGATGAAGAGATCCACATTTCCTCTCACAGTGTGCAAATGTGTTGCATCAACAGTTAAGAACAGTAGGAATGAGGAGCACACGGCACAAGAAAAATTCACAATAAATCTATACTATTAAGTAAAAAATGTCTGATACGTGCATCATAATGAATGAAAGTCAGTCAAAGGACCACTGAACTGGTTCTGTTTGACATATGTGGTGTACTGTAACATGGCTAGTGCGGACCGTGGGCCACATTAGGGCCTGGTTCATTTTTTTTATGCTTCCCAGCCGCCAACTTCAAACTGCTCTGTTGTTTATTTACATGAATCAGGAGTCGATACTTAAGAAAGGCTTGGTTGTAATGTGCTTCGATGTAATGTCCTACATTCATTTTGTTCTAATGAATGAACCTGAAATGTTATTAGTCATAATTAGCTCAAAACAAAATGTTCACAAACCCTAAATAACTTCATGTTTGTTAAATAAATACATGAATAATTAGAATTGAAAATGAACTATGCAAATACAGTTCTGGCCCTTTGCAATAGGGCAATATCTTAATGTGCCCCAACAAAGAAAATGTCCCACCTCTTTTCTTTACCAAAGCACTTTTCCAGCGTTCATCCATCAGAGAAAAGTGCTTGGTGACTGCTCCTGTTTCAGAAGGCCCAGATTTCTTCAGAGTTATAACTCTTCTTTGTTTTCTCCTGGGGCAGAAAATATTCCAGAGAAATGGACGCCAGAGGTGAAACACTTTTGTCCGAACGTGCCCATTATCCTGGTCGGGAACAAGAAAGACCTGAGGAACGACGAGCACACTCGACGGGAGCTGGCCAAAATGAAGCAGGTACAGACCCGTATTTTTCTTACTGTACTTTTTTTAAAATATTTATTTTCTGTATTGTGTTTTAATCTGTAAGTCTTTGAGGTTTTGTAGAAAAATAAGGTGCTTTATGAATAAAATGTAGTATTATTATTATTACTACTAAGAGACCCGGGACGTGCGGGGAGGTTTGTGATTGGGGAGGAACTGACTTTAGCAGTCAGATTTACCATCATCATTCTAATAAATTAGCATTAAATCGTCAATGCAAAAACGTCCACAAACATTATATACTGTAAAGATAAGAACCAGCATGTTATTAAAAATCCCACAACACATCTAGATGCTGGCTCTCCGCTCCGCATCAAACCAAGTCTTTGCGATGCACAGGTGCGAGAGACGGGAGGAGGGAGGTAGAGAGATGAGAGGAGCGAGAGAGAGACGCAAGGAGCGTGAGAGAAAGAGACACAAGGAGCGAGAGATGCAAGGGGAGAAAGAGACGCTAGGAGAGAGAGTGAAGCAAAGAAGGTGAGAGAGACTCAAGGAGCGAGAGATGCGAGGAGAGAGAGAAAGGGAGAGACGCTAAGAGAGGGAGAGAGAAACACAAGGAACACAAACAAGAATTAAACAAGTTGCAGAACTTATGAGCAGTGTTAAATCAGTGTTTTTTGGGGAAGCACTTTTATGCAGCTTCTCTAGTAACTCCTCCCCCGAGGCCGGACTAAACTCGTCAGTCCAGCGGTGGTCCTTCAGTCTATATTACTTCTTGTTTTGATTGAAAGTCCAGTTGAGAAACAAATCCTCAATCCAATCATCCATTTTCCAGCAAAAGAAATAGGACCGACAGGACTGATTGTTGGTTAGCATAATATTTACAGTCTGTGTTAGCAACTCGGGTAGAACTTCATGCTCACTATCACCCCTAGTGGTGAGCCACAGACACTGCCTGCCTCACGCTAGGCTTTTCCCATGTGTAATCTTCTCCGATCAAAAGACTTCAAATAATTATATATAGTACACACAATACGTGCAATACATTACCAAACACTATGACAAGTTAAACAAACGTTTTCATAGCAGGATGTTGAAACAAAAAGGGATATATCAACAGCACGAGCTGAGTGCACTCACACACACACACACTGTGAGGGAGTGAGCGGTCTGTGGGGAGCGCTGCCTCACCTGTCTCTTTGAATAGGAAAAATAGGATTTCAGCAATTTTTGACCACAGAAATGATCAAAACTGTTCGGAAACAGGCCGAAAATACGTTATAACCATAGGACAGTGGAAAACGAGTATATATTTTGACTATATTAATAATAATTTTTTCAATGATGGCAGGTGAGGCTCTGCCTCCCCTGCCTCCCCTGACTGCACGTCACTGTAAGAGACGGGCACAAGTCCAGGTGCTTTGAAAAGTAAAAGGTTCTGTTGTCATTGACGACAACTATAGTGTCGCCCAAATAATGGGACAGAGGTGAAACAGTCACACTCAGCTTTTTCCATGAGTTTGAACAAAAATAAAGCGCTGCATGAAGTCATTGTTTCAGGCACGAAAATTCACACAACTATGCGAAGAATGTTGGACCTTTTGACTCCTGTCCTCAAATATGTCATACCTTTTTACTGCAAAAATGCCTGAATCAAGTGTTTAAATCTTAATCTGAGACATTTCTTTTGTCTTTTTAAAAAACAAGATCATTTAAAACACTCAGAATGTGCTTTAACTAAAATATAGTTTTGCCAGATTTGAGCAATTTTAGAATCATTTTTCATTACTTTTATGAGTTGATGTCAATAAATGGTGGTCAAGGAGAATGATAGAGAGAGAGAGAGAGATTAATAAATGGACAGATATAGAGATATATATAGCTATATTCATTTGCATTAAAAGTGTATTATTCAAAATGTTGTCACCAATGTTTTCAAATTTTCGCTTTGAACTTCAATGACGGTCCAGCAACTTTAATAAGAATAAGATGACAATTTAAGAGATCCTTTATTTGTCCCACGGCGGGGAAATGTCAGTGTTGCACCAGTTTCAGAACAGTAGGAATGAGGAGCACACAGCACAAGATAAATGAACAATAACTCTACTAAAATACAATAAAATAATATCTCTAACAACGTCTTCAAAGATAAAATCCATAAAAATTAAAACCAATCACTGCTTTATTTGTACATTTCAGTAAATATTGAACCTTTTTGGACGTGTTCTTCCCTTGTTCCTTGAATTTGATTTTTATTTTAATAGATGTTTGTGCATGTTTTTTTTTTTTTTAAACTTAAATTTTATTGAAATTTTTTATGAACAGAACAAGAACAGTAGACAAAATACAGTCAGCATTAAGAAGTTTCACTGTACATCACTAAATATTTTCATACAGATGTAGCAAGAGCAGGGTTAGAGTATTATGCATACCCATATATTTACCCATACTTACATACAAGTCACAACACTGAGCCTGTACTAAGATATGTCAACCAATTACCCCATTTGTAGTAATAGATATTAGCCTGTGTCCTTAGCATGAAAGTCAGACGCTCCATTTGATGAATTTCGTCCACTAGATTTATCCAATCTTCCAATGAAGGCGGGTCTGTTTGAAGCCATTTCCTGGTGATTGCTTTTTTTGCACATGCAATAAAAATTTTGATTAAATATTTAATGTTATTTGGCAAGCCTGTGGGTATGTCTCCCATGTAGAGTGTCATCATTTCTTGTTTAAGTTTGACACCAGTTATTTGGTCTATTTTTAATCTGACATCAGTCCAGAATGGTTTTATCCTAGCACAGGACCAAAATATATTAGTGTGATGGGCCTCCCTATCCCCACAACCTCTCCAGCATAAAGGACTCTTCAGGTTCCATGTCGTTTGTTGTTTGGGGGTTATAAAAAACCGTGTCAAGTTTTTCCAACTAAATTCGCGCCAGTTGGCAGAGCTGGTGGTCGACAAGGCTGTCTCACATACATTATCCCATTGCTCATTTGTAATGTCCAAACCAATTTCCTTTTCCCATCTCTTCTTAATATAAATTGTTGATTCTCCCCTGCTAGTTGCTAATCCCTGATATAGCTTAGAAATAATAGATGTACATTTTTTGGTATATGATTGTGAAATCAGCTTAATTAATTGATTTGAGCCCAGTTCTGGTTTTGATAGTTTTGTTGATAAATATTGTCTTACTTGTAGGTATCTAAAAAAATCATTTTTCTCTAATTTATACTTTCTTTGTAACATTTGAAAAGTTGGCAACAAGTTCTTATCAAGTATGTTACAATAGGAAGTAAGTCCTTGTCGTGTCCAATCTTTGAATCTAGAGTCAAATTGATTAGGTGTGAAGTCTGTGTCGTAAGCGACCCAACGAAGCGTTCGTGCAAGATCTGATAACTTAAGTACTTTTAAAGTTTGAAACCATGTAGTCAGTGTAAAAATTGCCAGTGGCGACAGAATGTCTTGGTGAGTTGTCATTAATTTTGAGTCACCAATAAACGCCTGTATAGGAATATTTCCACATATTTTCTCTATCTCTTTCCACCTCGCCTCACAGGTACCATCACACCACAATACCAACGGCCTGAGTTGAGATGCTATATAGTAATCTTTCAGATTTGGTAATGATAAACCCCCCTTTTCTTTGTGGAGCATCAATGTACTAAATTTGACACGAGGTTTCTTTCCTCTCCAAATAAATCGGGATATTTGTTTTTCCCATTCACGGAATTGAGAAGTTGGAATTTTAACTGGTAGTGACATAAACAAGTATAGTAAGCTAGGCAAGACCGACATTTTAATTACTTCAATTCTTGAGTGGAAATTAAGTATGTTTGTTGTCCAGTGCGTGAGATCCCCTTTAATTTTTTTGTTCACATCGTCAAAGTTTCTCTTGAAAAGATCATCAGGGGAATGTGTCAGCCACACACCCAAATACCTAATCGCCCTCCTGGACCAATCAGTTTTGATTTTTTCTTTTAAAACTTCGGCTGGCTTATAGTTATAACACATAATCTGTGTCTTGCTTATGTTTAGTCTATATCCAGAATAAGCTCCAAATGTGTGAAGTGTTTGTAGGAGTGCCTGAATGGATTGGTTTGGGTTAGATAGATACAGCAGGACGTCATCGGCATACAGGGCCACTTTATGCTCTCTGGAATTCACTGTTATGCCGTTAATATTTGGGTTTTCTCTAATTGCCTGTGCTAATGGTTCGATATAGAGTGCAAATAGGGTTGGCGATAAGGGACAGCCTTGACGTGTTGATCTTTCTAATTCAATCCGATCTGTTAAACGGCCATTCACTTTAATTCTTGCAGTGGGGGCCAGTTTGTGCATGTTTTGAGAAGATGTGTGAAGGACTTAACAAATAAAAAGCTGCTATTTTGATCTACACTGTCTCATTGCAGATAATTTGGTCTAAAAAATGATCGATTTTAAAAATATTGTGGCAAAATCGTTATCGGGAGTTGGGACAAATTAATTTTTGCCTACATTGCCCACCCCTAGTTCCGACACAGGGCAACAGCAGGAGGCCAGTCCCTGTGCTCCTCAGATTTGGTTCTTATGGCACTAACATGTCACAGATGTACTTTGGTGCGAGGCCATGGAGAGACTTGTAAACAAACAGCGGCTTCCTGGTTCTCGTCATGACTTGATCTGCACACTCAAAAACCATTTTCTTTCAACAGGAACCAGTGAAACCAGAGGAAGGCAGGGAGATGGCCACCAGAATAAGCGCGGTGAACTGCTTGGAATGCTCGGCCAAAACTAAGGAAGGAGTGAGAGAAGTGTTTGAGATGGCGACACGAGCGGCACTGGAAGTTCGCAAACGCAAGAAGAGAAAGGGTTGTGTAGTTCTGTGAGAAGCCTTAGCCATTCCATATAAATATCTTTATATATATACACACATACATATGCATAAGTCGACTAACCAATAAGAAAAAAGACTGCCCTGTCATCAGCTCTATATATCTACACACTCACAGACTCATCCAGAAAGCCGTCAATGTCTCCAAAACGAGCTTAGCTAAAGTTGATTGCATTTTTTAAAGAACTGTTTTTGCATATTCTCTTTATACATGTAACAAGGCAATGATAGATGCGCATATTTGTGGTTCACAAGCTTTGGCAGGATGTCACTCTTCACTCCATACATTTATACTATCTGTTTCTTGACTATTTTTTTTCTGGGTTTTTTCGCAGTTAGTGAAAAAAAAAAAAAAAAAAGATTCAGGTGCCTTCTCATAAGTTTTTAGTCAACCCTTCAGGCTTCACTTTGTTATAGCTCCATCGATGAATGTGTCCGATATTTACACTTGAGTGAAGCCATACGCGTTTGGATCGTGATACTGTTGACAATGGGCTGCGTTCGTGTCCGATACTGCTCTATACGAGAGAAGAGATTTTTGAAAGAAATGTTCAAAATGTCAGAATTTCTTCCCACATCATTATTGGACAAATCTGCCACACATGGACCTGTCACGATAATTATAAAATAATACGTATTTTTGGGCTCAATATTTATCGTCCGCTCTATATTTCTTTACAAAAGGGGTGAGATTTTTTGCTATTTTTAAAGTTGGACGATTTTAGCCATCACTAAATATGACTTTATTTTCGTACCACACACTGCAAAAAGTGATGACAAATAAGTCTAAAATGGCTCAAATTTGAGTTACTGTATCTTAATTTGAGCACATTCTGACGGCCTTAAAACAAGATTTGCCAATGAGACAAAACAAATTGATCTTGTTTTAGAGATATAATAGAAATGTTTCCCTTGGACTGAGAAAATAAAGCAACAGTTCTTGACTAATTGTCTTTGTCCTATTGCCAAATCTTGTTCTAACAGTCAGAATGTTCTCAAATTAAGATATAAAACCAATATTATAGCAAATATTTTATCATTTTTTGCAGTGCATGCTATTTACTGTAAAGGACAAATGGAAAAAAGGATTTAGTGGATCCTGGAATTTTCCTGCTTTGTTGTATTAGCATTCATTTCATTTTATTTTCGTATTGCCCTAAATCTCAACAGTAGTTATCTTGTGACGACTTTAGAAAGCTGTCGATTGGTCAACACAGATCAGAGAATCAAACAGTTCAAACACCTGAATCACCCTCAAACTTCCTCAACGTTCCTCCGGCATCAGTGTGCTGCAAAATATGATCAAATATGAGGTAATGAATGCGTGAATCGAGTGGTTTTTCTCTTAAGATCCTTTGTTCGTTCGGTTGTCAGACTGTCTAACAGACCTGGATGAGTCTTCTGCTGCTGGATACCTAAATTTCCCCGACGGGGAATTAATAAAGTATATATCCATATTCTAAAACAAGATTTGCCAATGGGTCAAAGCCATTTAGGCATATTGCTTTTTTCCTCATTCAAATAGACATTTCTTGTATCTTTTAAAACGATTTAAAAAGATTATTTTGCTTTGTCCAATTGGTGAATATTGTTTTAAGGCAGTCAGCATGTGCTGAAATTATGATGCGTTTTGCTAAATTTGAGCATGTTTTGGCTTATTTTTCATCACTTTTTGCAGTGTGTTTCCATGACATTTGCCTTTTTTAGTCCTGCTCCTGACAAAACTAGTCTTATAACACGATTACATGCCCCAGCTCCGATTTCATAAATCATTATGGCCACTGATGGAAGGATAAGGCCGTGCAGAATGACTCAAACTCTGCACAATGGCTGCTGTAGAGGGGCTGGGACCAGAGAGAAACCCCTTGTTTATTTATTGCGAGTCATGGATGTAGCGTGTCTTTAGCCACAATGCGCCGAGTGTCACGCCCCCAGTTGGAATCTGTTTTGCTTGGGAACGGTCAGAGTCATGGAAATAAAGTAGTTACCCAGTGCCACGTGGTAATTTCTCGTCAGGCAACATTCTTGAAATGTTTTAGAAGTCTAGTGGTATTTGGAGTTTGTTTTTCCCAGTGCCTTCTGTCCTGTTGTGCCTTGGTGGACAGAGGCCAGGTGCTCACTTTGAGAATTGGAAATATTAATGATTAGGAGAATGTCTTATAGTCGGGCTTATGTGAACATGTACATGTACTTAAAAACACAATTTTAATCTTTTGATTCCAGATGTCAGATTTAAGGGCCTCATCTCTTGGTTACTTGGGTAAAAACACATCGGTTGTCATCATAGTTTAAAGGGGTCGTATGTAATATAATTATTACATCTACACCTTTTTTTTTAAAGAAAATTTACAAAAACTAGTATCACACATTTTGAATTAACCCTTGTGCTCTAACCCTAACTCTGATGAATAACTTGACCACCCCTGGGTCATTAAAACCCTAAATTAGTGTCTTAAAATAACCTCTACTCACGGTGGCAGGTCATTTTGGTCAAAGAGTAGCACAAGGGTTAAAAACAACCAGGTACCAAAATATGTAGTTTCCAGCCAAACCCCAGCAGGTAGATTGCATCAGTATTGTTTTATTGCTTGGTGTTTTATAACCAGTGTAAAACAGTTGGAGATGGCCACGTCTGCCCCTGGGCTACACGCACAGAATGATGTAAATGCAGTGAATCCTGTAGTAATAAAATCTTCAGTGTAGTTAAAGAGGAAACAGGACGGAAGCTGACGAGGCCACGGTGAGGAGCAGGACACAGAACATTAGTTTATTCCTGTGGAGGATGTGCCACTGGAAAACTTTGATACACCGACTGGGGGTTAATGTTATAAAACTCGAATCAAGTATTCAATGTAAGAGTCCAGGTTTATAAGTATTCCAATGATGTAGTGAATGTTTGATCAGACAGGCACATTGTTAATAAAATATTTTTGAGACAAGATACTTTCTGGTGTCATTTTTATTTATTAGACATTGATCCATTCACAATAGAACAAGGTCGTACAAGAAGTGACAAACTTTGGTATAGGCAGCTCTGTCAATATAATCAAACCTATAAGTGCAGCATGTGCTCTGAGGTACATTTAAAAAGTAGTTTGCAGAGACTAGCCTACACTGCAAGAAAATAAATGGGTCAAATTGCTCACGTTTGGTAAAATGTATCTTAATCTGAGCAGATTGAAGATTTGCTAATGGGACAAGGAAATATGAGACTAAATGACTTTGTCCCATTAGTAATTGTATTCTGTTTTCAGTCAGAATGAAGATTTGTCAACGGGACAAAGTCATTAAGTCCCATTTTACGAACTTACATTCTCTCATTCCAAAAGCGACATTTCTTGTATCTTTAAAAAATAAGATGTATTAGCTTGTTCCATTGCAAATGTTTGAACCCTTTGGTTATGGTTTCCTCAAGCATTTGGTGGATCACCTTTTGCACAATCTTAAGTGATTCCATGCCAGATGTTACATGTTCTCCTGTGTGAGATACATAAAATCTAATCTTGAGTCTCTCTCCACTTTAATTATTGGCTTTACCAAATGGTTGAAGTTAAGAAATAGGGGGTCCAAAAAAGGAAAACATTTGTCATTAATGTTTCCACAACCCCAAATATGACATTGCCTTGAATGTTAAAGGGTATAATTACATGTTTGTATGAAAAAGGGCATAACATGTTTTCTTTCCATTCACGTAATTGTTTAAATGATATTGTAGCTATCATGTGAACAATTGAGATTAACAACATTTTCATGAAGGGGAAAAAAATAAATGATTACAAATGCAGGTATCGATTGCAGAACTCAAACTCAATTGTACGAACACTAGTCAGCCCTCCTGCTCACTGCTGTGTACCTCCAAACGATGGAACCACTGGAGCTCATTCTTTTAATAGTTTAGCAAGATCCATCTTCTTAGAATATAATATGTCTGACTTTCTATTGTGTCTGGTATAAAACAACCAAATACCTTTATAATGTCCAACACTTGAAGTGGTCGTTTCATGTAAATCTTTCCCTTAAATGGAATAGAGTATGTATTGTATCGGTTTTTTTTACCCATTCACCGCATAATATTGTGTCCTCAATAAAGAGTAATAATGAATAATATAGAAAAGATCCCATGATTCTCCTTTTTACCCACATTCCAATATCGACAAGTGCCAGAAGTATATGTTTGTGTGTGTGTAGTTTGTGCGACGGTAATAAAATGCGTCAGGTTGCCCGTGTGCAGAGTTTGTGCAGTTTCTCGTTCATTTATTCATTCATCTGTGGAGACATGATGACGGAGCGCAGACTACTGCTCGTTCTTCCATTCAGGATCGACGAACTGTTGAACAGCACTTTCTGCGATGACGCCTGTGGAAGAAGACACAGGACAGTTTAGTTTATGAATCGGTCGGTGGTTCTCAGCAGGTGGGTCACAGGATCATTTATAACATACGTATATACACAGCCCTCTCAAAATAAAAATCTCATTCAAGTTTATTTCTGTAATTGAACTTAAAGCTGCACTAACTGACTTTGGGATTTTGAAGCCGCGGACTCGCTGGCCTCTTTCTGCTCCCCTCCCCGCACCCACGAAGCTATCGCCCCCCACACACACCCACTGTTGTTCACGGAGCCAGCGTCTCCCAATATGGATAAATACATGGACATGGATTTGCACGTGGATGGCGTGAACATAGAACGATAGAACCGGGAAGCGTGGAGGAACGGGACTTTCTTTTGGATGGCTGTCTCGCTGTGTAAGCAGTAACCGTGACGAAGACAAGGAAGTTTCAGGTTAGCTCCTCGGCTTGTTGTGCTAACTCAGCTGTCTGTGCTAACGGACCTGTAGATTTCTCACGAAAGTGGGGGCTAGTGGTCCGCTGTGATTGGTCACAATCTGCGACCCGAAACACATTCTCTTCCTTGTTTCATCAAAACTCGATCTAAAATATAATGTCACGCCAGCACAAATCTGCGCTACTTTTTCTTCAAAAGGACGAATATCCCAATGCACTGCATGGACATGGATAGCCTTTTTGTAATGAATACAAAAATAAAGTCAGTTAGTGCAGCTTTAAGAGTCTCATTAAATCATTTGGATTATTAATGACTCATCACCATAACAAATGGTGGATGACTTTGTTAAGTTTGGTATTAGTTTCACATTTTAAGTGGAATTACAGAATTTAAATTGATTTGACACTTTCACACATACACTAAAAAAGTCCAGTAAAAAAAATAAAAATAAGCTAATGCACTGCAAAAAGTGATGAGAAATAACCCAAAGCTAAAATTTGGCTAAATGTATCTTAATTTGAGCACATTCTGACTGCCTCAAAACAAGATTTTCCAATGGAACAAAGCAAAATGATCTTGTTTTAAAAAGAAGAACAAATGAAAAATTAAAGCAACAGTTCTTGAAATAAGACTAAATGCGAATTGGCAAATCTTGTTTCAACACAGCGATTATTAAAAAAACTACTCTATTCGAGCGATAATTACCTCATTTCATCATGTTTTGCAGTGTGTTAAGACGTTTGTCCATAACACACATTTTCATTCCTAAAGTTAAATAAAAACGCTCTAAATCTGCACAAAAGTAGATCAAGCCAAGGGTCAGGAATATTTGTTTTTCTTATTTTTGTGAATAAAAATAATCCAATAATTCACAGATAATAAATAATTTGGCTCCTATATGTTAAAGAAATTTATTTCATGCACACATTCTAAGCCTAAAGGGCCTAAAACAAAAAGGTTAGCATAAGGACTAATAAAAATGTACTCGTAGATTAAAAATAAATACATCTTGAAATAAGTTTTAGTCCATATTTGTCATAATAATTTCAGCTCATTGGTGTCATCTTATAATTATTAAAAGCCATTTCAAAATAATGGAGAATGCTGTATATTTCAAACTAAATTCAGTTATTTGTGTCTCAAAATCTGAATCATTTCACCTAAAAAGGGGATGATACTGTAAGTCCATCTCTGTTGAGGTCCTAAACGTGTTCATGCATAAATATAACTTTGGTACACAGGGGTTTATACCTTCAGCCTCAGTGTTTATCTTCAGGTTCGCCAGTCGAGAAATCACATCGTCTTCTCCCTCTGCGTCTGCGAAGTCGAAGCCGGTGTATCCGTTCTCGTTCACACAGTAATTTATGAATCTGTCCAGGATTAGACGCAGCATTCTCAACACAAGCACATTTTGTCACAGAAGAGAGATCTAAATAATGGTAATGGCAGTTTACTTTTTCCAAGTGGGATCTTTGCTCAGAATCACAGGGTTCCCCACGAGTATCAAGAGCGAGCGTGCTCTGGTCACAGCCACGTTGAATCTCTGAGAACAAAAAGGTTGTGATAAAGTTGCACAAATAATGGGTCAATGCAAACAATAACAAGTGCGATATTGATCAGAGGTGGAAGAAACAAAAACATTCTGTTCAGTAATCGCAATATGCTATTAAAATCGACAGAGAAAAGTATTGCAACATTGAAGGAAAATTATTATCAGTTTCACTTGTTCCGAGTTTGCTCTAATATGTCCTTTTTGTTACTCGAGTCACCGTTCATGTGAGAGTCGTCTGTTCAGAGAATAATTATGTATTTTTTGTAATAAGGTCTTGTGTCCTGAATATTCAAGGATAACGTTTTTTCACTACCCTCCTAAGTGTTTGCTTCAGTTCATTCGCAGACCATAATAAATGTGACATAGTCGAGTCTTCATCGCAATATATCTCGCATTAAAACTACAATACTTACTGTATAACAAAAGTTTGAGAATCACAATAATATTTAATTGTGGCCCAAATATCGCAGTACTAGCAAATAGTCACATTTTTGCCAATTCTCACCTCTAATATTGATACTGCATAAATGTGCAATCATTTTGAAGTCTTGATCAAGTTTATCCATCCATCTTCCTCTCTGAATTGGGACAGTCGGCCAAATCACAGAGCACCAGCCCAAGTGCTCATGCTCCCATTGATAACGTTTAAGATTTTCCAAGTTCAGTATGTGTTACTGAAGTCACTGCAATGCAATTTAATTTTTTGGGGAAGGAAAACATTGCAATAGATCTCGTTGTCGCAGTCATATCACTTTTCTATATTGTGTCGCTCTAATATGTATCATTGGAATGAGACATTAAAGAATAGCCAACACTAGAACTAGCTTAAGGGGAGTTTTAATCATTAGTCCCATTGTACCATGTTTTAGTGGTGGGAGAAACCAGAGCAAAGAAAAGTAAGTAAGTAAGTAAGTAATCTTTATTTATATACCGCCTTTCACAGACCAGAGTCACAAAGTGGTTTGCAATTGTTATTTTTTGGGCAATTGTCCTCTCTCCACACAGAGAAACTCCAAAAGAACCCTATGCAGACATAGAGAGAACACGCAAACTCCCCTCAAACCCAGGATCTATTTTCCCGAGAAGCGACAGATCTCCTTCGGGGGATCAATAAAGTATCCATCACACCATTTTCAAACACAAACTTTGATTCAGTGGACTTTGCCGTACCTTCTCGTTGGAGAGGAAGCCGATGTTAAAATCTTTGTCCATTTTGACGTAGTTGCTGCAGCTGCGAACAGTGGAAACCATGATCACCTTTCTCTCCTGCCCTTGGAACTCCTCCACTGAGCCCACCTGGAGACACAACTCTTTTCACATACAAAAGCCGATACAAAACCACACAAGGAGAGAAAAGTTGGAACAATCATTGCAGTGAACAAAGTGGCCTCTCAACCTTGAGTTCCGTGATGTCGCTCCACTGGCGAATAGTTTTGACAGACTTTAGAGCTTTTCGAATTTTTTCAACCTGTCGAAACAAACGCAACGTCAGGATAATTCGAGGCGATTCATAATTCACCAATAATTTTAAAAACAAACTTACTTGTTTCCTGTATGGAGCAATGATCCCGATGTCTTTGGAGGAGAGCTTAGGCAGACCCTTCTTCCCCTGAGTTTCGATCAGCTTGACCAGGTAGTCCATCAGAACCTCGATCTCAGACACGTTGAAGAAAGACGGGCTGTTTGCTTCTCTCTCGTCTTTCCCCATCACCCCATGGAAGATAACGGGGAAGCCCTGAGTTGGAATTCAAAAATCATATCTACATTTCAATAAATGTCCTTCTTACAGACATACACATTACCAAGGCTTTGCAAATGGGGGAGCGGGTTACTGTAATGTATTGATTTTTTATTCCAACAAAACCTGGGTAATATTTTTGTTTTTTATAATCTGCAGCACGAGATCAGCAGGAGAACACATCTGTCCCAATAGTATTTGCCTAGAAGTCTTGTTCCTTTTTGGTAGAATATGACCAAGGGTGAAGCAGGATCAGGCTCTATTTGGACAATAGATTCAAGATTCAAGAATTTATTTTCCATTTGCAGTAAAACCACATTAGAAAAACTGCAAGACTACCCCAGTGTGCACCAACAGCACACACCAGACCTCTTATCACGGCGCCATGCAAATAGTATATTGGTACTATCATTGGTACTATTATTAGTAACACATTTTACAGATGGATAGACTCCCATTATTTATGAGTTTGTTGAAGACAAAGATGTGGAACATAACAGTAAAGTATAGTTTGTATACATGTAAATATTTGGTGAAAGTAGCTTCAAAGTAATGAAGCAGTAGTGTAAGGCTTTATTACAGTCTCTGAATTGTATTTAATCGCATCACATTTCTTCACAATACTATGCAAGTCACTTACAAAAATTGTAATGATTATGTACGACTTATTCCTGTTATTTCATAGTATAAACAGGTTTCAGGTGAAATTGTAGTTCTGGTTGCCAGTCGCTCAACTCAATACATACACTAGCAGCACTGACTATAGCAGGCCCCACCCCCAACAGCTAGCCCCGCCCCCCAAAAGCACACAGCCTCATAGTTTTGCACACGTATAGAACTAGCACAATACCTTTTTTGGAAGATGCTCCCAATTGCAGTAAGTCTCACGCTCCCATTGGTCAGCAAACACTTGAAGTTCATTTTCATAAAACATCTCATTTGGAATTTTTAAAATGGCAGGGTGTGACCTAAAGAGGAGAAGAAAGAATAATGTGTCTTGACATATACTGTACATAAATACACACAAGAGGTTAAAACGACCATAATGTAGGATTCTAACAGCTTAATACTCCTGCACACTGCATTTGTAACAAGTGACTTTGAGGGCCTTTTTCTCTACCAGGGCAGGGTTTGTGGCAGACTGAAAAACTCTAAGAGAACTTCAGCCTTGGCCATGTCTCTTGGCAGCTTCAGGTTGTGGGTTTGGAAAACATATTTTATTCTTTTTTTATTTGATGTTATAATTCGTGAATCTTTTCCTTCGCTTTAAGGCTCTTGGTTGCAGGACAAAAAGGTTGGGAACTAGAAGAAGGTCCTTAGTCCCACAGTGGGAAATTTCAGTTTTGATGAATACACATACAGAGACCCTTACTTCCACGCTCCTTATGGGCAAAGTGGGTTAAGAGTCTTGCCCAAGGACACAATGACAACAGACAGGAGTCTGCGGAAAAGGTCTCGAGGTGGGCTCGAACGCATCAAAGGATAATGCTCTACCAACTGAGCCACTGTCGCCCTGTGAAGCACCTTAACAGCGCTTTAGACAAACTATTACACTTTACAGGATACTTGCTTTGTGACATGCCCTCTTGTTCTTGCTTCAGAGCCACATACACAACTGAAAAACTACATCATATTATACCTGTAGTTCCTGAGTAATTTGGTCACAAAGCGAGTGTCGTAGTGGCCAGAGTCCGTCTTCCTGTACAGCTCATTCTGTGTCATGAGTCTTTCAAGAAGAGAGATTCCTGAATACAAAAAAATTACACATCAAAAAGCAGCAACTGGTTTAAGATTAAGAGATCCTTTGTCTCTTCCACAGTAGGGAAATGTTAGTCTCCTGTCACCAGTTACAGAACAGTAAGGAATGAGGCGCACACAGCACAACCTAAATTAACTATAACTAGTATACTAAAGTTACAGATTCTAGGGTTACAGATGGATCTACGGCAGCTGAAAGTGAAAAACATGAAATTTCAGCCTTAACGGCCCCTACAAAATTGGCCGGTTACTGTTTCTGGAGGTCAGACTGCTGCCCCAACACTCGACCCTAAAGAACACAGCACTAGTTACAATAGACTGGTAAAATATGTGCAACCTCTGACTGCTCGCAACAAAGGACCTCAGTCTTCTCAGGAAGAAGAGACTGCTCTGACCTTTCTTATAGCATTGTCCTGAGCGGACCAGTCCAGTCTGTGGTCCAGGTGGACTCCCAGGTATTTGTAGGATTGTACCACTTCAATGTCTTGTCCATTTAGTGTGACTGGTTGATGGTAAGGGCTCGTGTGAAAGTCAATGGTCATCTCTTTGGTCTTGGACACATTGAGAATCAGACCATTGCTCTCACTCCAGTCTGAGAAGGCAGCCACCACCTCCCTGTACTGCTTTATCCCCTCCTTCACACATGCCAGAACAGCGGTATAATCCGAGGATTTTTGTACAAGGCATGTAGCAGAGTTGTGTGCAAAGTCTGCAGAGTAAAATGTGAAGAGGAAGGGAGCCAGGACCCTGTGGTGCTCCCGTATCGCTCAAAAACAGTCACAGATACGCTCTTCCCCACACTGGTCTGTAGTCCTTGCATCCCGTTGGCCTCTCTACCTTGGGGATGGGTACCAGGCTGGAAGTTGGAATAAATATACTGGAATAAAATTAAGCTACAGCTAGAAAAAGTAGATAAAATAACAACCGTAAAGTACAATATCTTCTGAGTGCTTTGGGCTGAGTGCTGATATAAAGAGAAGTGAAAAAGAGAATCTTAAGATGAAACTGTGGCCAAACAATCATATACTGTATTCCTCATCGTGGGTTATTTCACAATTCAATATTTTGTGTTTTGAAAGTTAGGTTCCCCATCTTTAAAGCAAAAACCACTCTTCTCACCGAGTCCGTGCTGCAGAGCCAGCGGCGAGCGCAGTATTGGCCCGAGCTGCTTGGGATCCCCTGCTAGCACCAGCTGACCATCCCCTGGACTGAGCAGACCTTCAAATGGAATGGCAATCTCATTAATTTATGTTGTAATGTATTTAAAGCAAACATCTAAACCAGACTCTGGAAAACTCCTCCTGAAGGCTATATTGGAACATCAGCCCATTATCCAAGGTTTTTCTCAGGCCCAATTTTTGTTAATGTTCTATGAATGGTGTCGCTCTGAGTGAATGGGTGTGGGGCATGTATCGTTTTGCTTCTAAGGGCAATAGTAATGAGTTTGAAAATGGGATTAGAGGAATAAGTCTGTTGAGTGTTATTGGAAAGACATACGGAAAAAAGTGGGCACCCCTTTAAATTTTTATAAATCATTAGTTTTTTGGAAAAGAAATCTCAGTTGTGTAAAGTCCTCTGTGATTTAAGGCTATACAAGAATAAATTGAATTGCAGTGAAAAGAAAGAATAAGTAGCGACTGAATGTGCAATAGTTGGAGAGCAGTATGGATGGAGGAGGTTGATGATCCACGCATCAGGGGTTTTTTCAGTGCGACAGGAGTGTGAAAAGGCAAAAGGTAAAGAAAATCTAGAGCGAGGAGCGCGACAGTGGCTCTAGAGCTTTGTACACAGCACAGAGGGATTTTGTAGTTTTTTATGTTATACTGTATCTATATAAATTGAGGAGAGTTCAGGGGCCTGATGTAAACGTTCAAAGGACCGCATCTGGCCCAAGAACCAGGGTTTGCCCATTACTTATCAAAACAGTTTGCAAGCAAGTACCTGAAATTGCAACTAGACTCTCGGACTCCAGGGCCTGCCCCCCTTCATCCACAAAGATGTAGCTGAAATGTCCAACAGGAACTCCAACGGACACTAGTCTGCAGTGAAACGCAGTCGGAGGTTGGGAAAAGAACATTCAAATTCAAGTATTAAATTTTAAAAGACAAAACATTTAAATTAAAACACAAAAAACGTGCCAACCTTCCAGCTGTGATCATTGTGGCGATAACAACTGTGGGGTTCATCAAAATCTCCATCTTAGGAAACACGAACGCGTCTTGTCTCTCGTCCCAATTGCAATTTTTCTACAGACAGATTTAACAGATTATGATCCTAATGGATTTCAGTTCAAATTTGCCATTTCAAGCAAGAGAACCTCACAGTTCTTATTTCATAAATTCATTTTGTTTTGTATTAAGTAACATTGTGAACAAAACTTATGTTCATTTACCACTCTAACCATTGTGACAGGCCTACTTCCCATTCAAAACCATAGATCCATATGTGTCACCACCATCGTTAAACAATCACAAACACATGACTAAATCACATTGTGTGCAGGCAGAAGGAGCAGTGTCAGAGTAAGCAGATTACAGGCGGTACCAGCTGGCCCTTACCAGAAGCCTCTTGGGGACCGTGCTGGGGTCTCTGCTGCTGGCGTACAGGCGGTACACCTGATGAGGATCCATATGCACCAGCAGCCTCTCACACAGCAGGTCACAGGCGCTGTTGGACGGCGCACAGGCCAGGATGTGGGCCCCAGTGTGGGCTCTCTTGACCTAACGACCAAACAAAGCAATTATTAGTCATCTGAAACAAACTAAGCTTTCAAAAACGGAAAAATGATAAAATATTAGTTAATATTTGCTTGAATCAAGTGGTTTTTATTTTAATTTGAGTACATTCTGACTGTAATAAAACAAGAATTACCAATTGGACAAAGCCATTTGGTCCTTTTTCAAGAACAATTGCTTTATTTTCTCCTTCAATGAGACATTTTTTGTATTATATTTTAAACCAAGATTATTTTGCTTTGTCCCATAAGCAAATACTGTTTTAAGGCAGTCAACATGTGCTTGAATGAAGATACATTTTGCACAAATTGATAAAATGTTTTGCTTTTCATTAATCACTTTTTGCAGTGAACAGCCTGGCCTTTCTGATCAATGCATCACATCATGAATTCACATTACTTGGGCAATTTTCTTTTATCAAACATGAAAACAGTGATCATTACTGAATTTGTTCTGATTGGAATTGAAGTATTGCTTTAAATCTGGGGCCATAGCACTCTCTCCATCTCGCAGTGGCTCTCCCTGGGGTTTCCTTTTCAATTCAATTTGATTCAGAGAATCGAACAGTTGATAAACGCAATGATAAAAAAACATTTTTTGGTCCATATGGGGCGGATGATCAATGTCCATGAATGTCAATTGTGGCCGTCTCCACTCTTATCTCACATACCTACTGGCCAAGGCCGAAGATAACATGGACTCTAAAACAAACCTTCACTTTTACAGCTATTCCCAGCTTTGGATTCAACATGCAAAAACAGTGAATAGCAATTATGAGATTATGAACTGACCTGATTCATGGCTTCAACCAGCGTGATGGTCTTCCCGGTTCCTGGGGGCCCAAAGACCAGGTGTGGAGCAGGCTTTGAAGAGCCAGCTACAATGCGCTGAACTGCTGCGTACTGCTCTGGGTTTATTTCCAACTGATGATTCAACATACTGCACCCAGAAGTGACATGTCATTATTCTTTCACTCCATACACAGTGGATATATAACACTTCTGTAGCCACAGCTGCCCTGGGACACACTGACAGAACCCTCCCATCACCAACCATTCACACACACACCAGACTGGTTCTAAGTGTCTTGCCTAAGGACACAACCACAGTTTTTATTGGCACTTTACAGCCAGCCCACTGTAGCACCTCGCGTTCCCAGGGGTCTCCCATCAAAGTACTAACCAGGCCCTCCCCTGCTTAGCAGCAGAGTTCTGGCAGGATCTGGCTTTAGCATGCACGTATAGCCACATATTAATTGTTCAATGTATTTTTAAAGTACAGTCAAGGAGAGGCTACTTTTGAGGGCAGATGACCAATGGCCATAAACATTTATTCACGGACTGTATGGTGGTCTGAAAGTTAGGTACCCCAGCTTTAAACATCAGCTATCCTCACCTGAGCTTAGAGACAGGAACAGTGTCATTTGCCGCTTTAGTTGGAAAGAGTACATCTCCAAGTTTACTCTTCACCGCCAACTCCACGGCTCGATGTTGCATTTTGAGATTGAAGCGGTTGATGGTGAACTCCACGTTGAACTTCATGTTGTCAATGAATGTCTGCAATAATCTACAAGGACGAAAAATTGGAGAAGCAAAAATTTGAAGCAATTTGAGCCAAAAAGTTTCCACTGTCACTTTACGTAGGAGCATGAGGGTGTGGGGCAAAGTGACTGTACAGATGTAGACTAGGGCTGCACATATATCAAAACAAAATTGTCATTGCAATATTTGTACGTGCGATATCCATATCTAAAACATGTGCAATAATTTTGATATTCATGTTCATGCAGTAATCTAACTGGCGGCACGGTGGCTGAGTGGATTGCACTCACTGTTAGGACCACAGAAAGGAATCATAAGATTCTTTGGTAAAAGGTACAATTGCTACTGTTTTCCAAGCCTGTGGATAGATCCCCTTCTTTAGGACTCAGTCAATCAAAGTAGATGTTTTAGAGCCATCAGTTCTACAGCTCATTAGAGTTGGTTTAGTCACACGCTGCGCTAAACCACATGCTACAGTAATAGAATTAAGTTTGATTTGAAGTTTGTCCCTCAAAAGACACTGCATCAAAATGCGGTCTATTAACGTCTCTCATAATATAGAGTTAATTTGGACTATCACATACATTGTCTATCACCGAACAACTAAGTGGCTACTCCACATCTGTTGTGACCTGTCCAGCTCCACCCAGAAGGTGCTGTTGCATTTTAATATATTACTATAGTTAGTTTTTTTAGAATTATCAATTTATTTGTTTTGTTTGTGTGGATGTGTTTATGCTGCTACTGGACACCTGAAATTCTCCTACAGGTATCAAGAAAGTATCTATCGACATAAATCATCCAGATATGTAGGGTTTAAATTGAGTGGACAGTAACGGGCACAAACCAGTAACGGCTTTAAATGGGGAATATGGACTTGAAGGAATAATGCTTCAATATTAGATAACGATAGATCCATTCTTATTTCTACTGGTATTTGCTCCTGTATATAGAGCAACTCCACCACCCCTCGTGTTTCTGTCTTTCGCTTATAAGCTTTAACCTTGTATGTACAAAGAGGAGTCTTCAAAATTACCTTATATTAGAATCTTTGAAAAGATCAATAATTATACTTCGCAGACTACAAACGACAATGTGACAATTTTAGTCCCTTCTTAGGAAGACTTGTAAGAGTCACCCTTTTCAACTATTATGAATCATTAGAATATACAGCTTTTTATACTCGCTTCTTTATTATGCTCAAGCTACAGATGGAATTTTATTTTAATATAAAATAGAGTTATTCAATAGAGTTATCTTGTGCTGTGTGCTCCTCATTCCTACAGTTCTATAACTGGTGCAACACTGACATTTCCCCACTGTGGGAAAAATGAAGGGTCTCTTATTTATTTCAAATCTCACCTCATTGAGAATCCGAGTTTGACTTTGTCCAACTCGACTCTGTGAACATATCCAGTGTAGAGGGTGATGGGGGAGCCGCGGTCTTCAGACTTTGACACTCGCAGACTGTCTCCTCTCAGCACCGAGGGCCGGTTCTCAGCCACCCCAGGAACCTTCAGTCATAGAGTAAGAGTGTAAGCACATTTCATGACAATAGTAATTAGGGAATATTTATCTATATTGCACATTTTTAAAGTGTTGCTGCTCCCAATCTGTGGAATAGTGAGCTCTGTTCATTAGTTTACTTTTGAATGCGCTTGAAACAGCAGAAAGTCCTAAGTAGCTCTGAAACAGTTTTGTGCTTCACAATTTTTTATATTATTACTTTTTTCTTCCTGAGATGTTGCTGTAGTACAGTGTTCATGGTTTTACACTGGTCCAGACCAGAGTAGAGAGGATTCATGGTACAAACTAAGCGGATCAGGCAAAAATCCACTGTAGGAATGCTAACTTTTTTCAAAAATGCTATAGGAGCGTTCAGCCTTTTACTTTGGACTAAAGCTGGAGTAGCCGCTTGGTTCAAACCATTTCTCTCTGCTCGTGACCTGACCTGCTCCACCCAGAGGCTACTCCACCTCTGCTGTTGTGACCTGTCCTGCCTCCACCCAGAGGCTACTCCACCTCTGCTACTGTGACCCGTCCTGCTCCACCGAGAGGCTACTCCACCTCTGCTGCTGTGACCCGTCCTGCTCCACCGAGAGGCTACTCCACCTCTGCTACTGTGACCCGTCCTGCTCCACCGAGAGGCTACTCCACCTCTGCTGCTGTGACCTGTCCTGCTCCACCCAGAGGCTACTCCACCTCTGCTGCTGTGACCCGTCCTGCTCCACCCAGAGGCTACTCCACCTCTGCTGCTGTGACCTGTCCTGCCTCCACCCAGAGGCTACTCCACCTCTGCTGTTGTGACCTGTCCTGCCTCCACCCAGAGGCTACGCCACCTCTGCTGCTGTGACCCGTCCTGCTCCCGATTACTGCATGTACTGTACAGTTAGTTATGTTTAGTTTCTGAAATTGTACAGTATAGTATTGTTCTTGTATAATGTGTCCTGGTTTGGCTGAAACTGAAGCTTGGATTATTACAATCTCCTCTTCAACATAAAAAACTGCATGAGTTTGTAAAACTGTGGGTGAAGTTGAATGATGTGAGAATGTGTTTTGCAGATTTTAAATAAATGATCTGGAAAAATGTGAAAAAAAGACAGAAAAAAAAGTTTTGACAAAAGAGCTGCAGCTCTTATGACCAAAATGGCTAAAGAGAATCCTTTGCAGAATGCAGTATAAACTGCCTACACATGAGTACATTCTGGTCAGCTTAAAAGCAAAGCCCTGGGTAAAGCTGAAAAAATACATTTTATATAGTTTATAGACTTTCTCCTGAGATGTACAGTACCGACCAAAAGTTTGGACACTTTCTCATTTAATGAGTTTCCTTTCTTTTCATGACTATTGACTGTAGATTCACACCAGGCTGTGAAAGCGCTATTTGACCAAGAAGGAGAGTGGTGGGTGCTGGGCCAGATGACCTGGCCTCCAGTCACCGGACCTGAACCCAATCCAGATGGTTTTGGGATGAGCTGGATCACAGAGTAAAGGCAAAAGGGCCAACAAGTGCTAAGTATCTCTGGGAACTCCTTCAAGACTGTTGGAAGACCATTTCAGGTCACTACCTCTTGAAGCTCATCAAGAGAATGCCAAGAGTGTGCGAAGCAGTAATCAGAGCAAAAGGTAGATACTTTGAAGAACCTACTATTACTTATACTATTTTGTTTGACTTGTATTATAATGTAAAATATAATGTATAAAGATTTATATTTTGTTAGCTGTGACAGTTTTCACTCATTTGAAAATGTGATTTATTGTGAAATGCTTTGTGGGTGTGCTGACTGTACACCCTCGGGTGCCTGCCCCACCCTATTTAAGATTACTTCCTGGTTATCATATTTGCTTGATGAAGGCGTAACACCAAAAGACAGTGTGTGGGAATATTTCTCCTTTCATCAACTGTAGGCTGTACAGACTACTCCAACACACCAGATATGTTGTGTTAGTAAATTATGTGCAAATCTTCATTCCGGACTCAACATGTAACTAAAACTAAACCCAATTTCCTATGTTTCCTCACTTAATTGTTTGAGTTTCCTTACTTCGAGTACAAGTAGCCTCTTGTTGCTTTGGTCTAGAGTCATTGGCGCTTTATGCATGTCATACTTCCGAATATCCACCTCCATCTGGATTTCCTCCAAGTGTAGCAGAAGATGAAACCGATGATTGTAGCTCTTCATATTCAGAGGGGGGTCTAGAAGATTCCTGCTCATCAAACACGGCGTCAATTTGAAATGATCAAAAGACACATGGGGCGTACAATATATCATATCATATTATATAATATCATATAATCTCATTACTTCACAGATTCCAGTTTCTGTCTATCGGCCGCAGAAAGGTGCTCAGAGTCCTCCAAACGTCGTCGAGCCAAATTCTTGAGGTAAACGGAATATTTGTAGTCCCCTAGTTTCACAGCCATCACAGGCTTGTTCACCGTGCTGCAAAACAAGGATCATTTATACAAATCAGGAAAATATGGGTTTGGCATTCTTACAACCCTAAATCAGAATGTGCTATTTGAAACCACATGCGTCAACTGTCCAAGGACGTGCAGTCAGGAGGAAGAGCTTCACCATAGAAAAAAATTATTCATTTTATAATCATTTTATTGTTTCCCACTGCCCTATGCTTTTAATGACTTTTCGGCACGGTTCCAACCAGTTTTGATCATTTCTATAGTCAGAAAACGCTCAAATCCTTTTTTTCTACTCAAAGAGACCAGTTGAGAAAGCACACCTACATACCACCCCCCAGATCGCTCACAAGAAATCTGTTTGGGAAAGGTAGAGGGGCACTTTATTGATCCTCGTAGGGCAATTCAATCTTCTGCATTAGACCCATCCTGATGCCGCTAAGGCTTACGTCAGGAGCAGTGGTCGCCGTAATACAGCGCGCCCAGGAACCCATCTCCAGATGTTGATGCTCGGCTTGGTCAGGACTACCGGAGTTGGAGGATTTACCACATGCAAACCACTCAGAAAGACCCCGTTCCGACTGGGATTCGAACCCAGGACTCTTGCTGAGAGGCGAGAGTGCAATCCACTCAGCCACAAACTGGACTGGACTCATGACACAAACACCTTCTTTAAGAAGAGGAGGCTCAGGTCTTTTAGAGTGCAGGGGCCACTCCTGAAGACCTATGACCCTGTGGTGGCGTCTGCCATCTTGTGCAGCGTGGTCTGCTGGAGCAGCAGTATCACAGAGATGGACAAGAGCAGCAGGAAGAGCAGCAGGAAGTCCAGCTCTGTCCTGGGTCCTAAACAGAGTGCAGCTGGTGGGGAGAGTCCTGGACAAACTAACATCTATCCTGGACGCAAGCAACCTAAAAAAAGCTTTAGAACAAGTTTACAAAGTGAAAACCCAACAACCAGTATGGACATCCTCGCATCGGCAGAAACAGTCCAAGGTGACACATTAGATAGATTTGTGAGTGTGGGGAGGGGAGCAGAGAGCGAGGCCAGTGCTCACATTTGAAAATTTCACAAAGTGAGTTGGGGCAGCTTTAAACATTCAACAACATGTATGGACAATTATCAACATGTGCTCTCTATTCTTTTTTGTGTCTAAACTGTTGATTCTCTGATCTGTGTTGGGGATTTCAATGGTTTTGTTAAGTCCTCAGAGATGACTACTGTTGTGATTTAGGGCTATACAAGAATAAATTGTATAGTAAATAGAGACAATGAGAGCTGAAAAAAACAGGTCTGTGTGAATGTCTGTATTTTTATTCTGCCTACTCCTTTTGAGCTCTACATTGCACTTTAAAACAACCAAAAGACCTCGTTTTATCAACTGTATGTACTGCTCAGAGCTGAACTGAACGATTAAAACTGATAAAAATAAAGTGCCAAATCAAATACTCCCATCAGTGATTCCTCTTTCATTTTTTATATTGATTAATGTAAACAATAGAAACAGACCTTCCATACCCTCTGCTCCTCCTGCCCCCTCCCTTCCTCCCCAGCTCTCTGTCCCCTCTTTCAGACTTGCCACCACGCGACTCTGCTTCCCAGGCTTTTCCCTGGTTCAAACCCGGACTCCAAACTCACCATTTCTTTCCCCACATGATCAGTCTTTGCAACACTTTTGTTGTTTTCCATTTTTTTGAATGCTAATGTTTTTATTTCACTCTGATTTTAACCATGTTTGTACAGTTTTTTAATAAAATGTAGTTAATAATCTGTCTTCCCTCAGACTTCACAGACAACACTGAGGTCAGAGATAAACTTACCTTTCTGGGGGAACTCCTTCCACTATGACAGAGTTCACTGGTTTGTAGGTCGGCACATACAGAGGTTTGTACGGAGCCACTGGGCCCAGCTCCAGAGCCAGAGGTGTCATGGCTGCAGCCTCAATCTCCCGCACGATGCAAAAAGGAACAGATCCGGGCAACACTGAGCAGAACTCAAAGTACATAGAGGCAGGAAAATATCCATGGTGGCTCAGCCTGTACAACACTTTCACTTCATACTTTGCTCCTGCAAAAAGAAGACAGCAGGGAGAATTGTTAACAAACACATTTTATCTTTGCATTTCCTTGAACTGTTTGATTCCTACAGGTGCGTGTGAGTCCGAACTAAACATGAGGAGGCTGCATCTCATCTCAATGTTAAAATCCATGAAAAGAAATCCATTTTTAACCTGGATTTTATCTTTACTCTTTTTAACGTACTGTGATTATTTATGTTTTGTTCAGAACTTTGTAATGCCTTGTGTATGAATTGCTATACAAAGAACCTTGCCTAGATCTACTTTGCAAATTGACTGTTTTGGAAAGTCCTCTTAGATAACTACTGTTGTTTAGGGCAATACGAAAAAGCATTAAATTAAATAGATGGATCATGTATACAAGTCTATGCTCATCAAAACCATCTCGTCTCACCAGGTCCCAGTAAGAGTGGGCTGACTCTGGTCACCCTCTGCTCATCCTCCAGGGAGAAGCAGCGCATGCGGTGTAGGGCAGTGTAGTAGGTGAAGAGGATCCCAGCCGCTCCTCTGTTGAAGATGCAGAATGTGACGGTGAACAGCTCTCTGAGATGTTCCACACTGAACTGAATCCTTCCATCAGAATCAGTCGGGTCAGACGAAAGCTCTATGTCGTTCTTGTTGGCTGTCAGCTGCTTTCTGTGTGGGAGCAAAGCAGGACAATGGTTGAAACATATTACAGCTGTTGATTATTGTAATGCAACTAATTAAATTAATCTGGGACACGGGAGACATAGCCCAAAAGACGTAGAGGGAGCAGATCCTTCCCTGTGGGTCTCAGATTTCTCATTGGGGTTTGTTTGAGTGGTTCATTGCAGATGTGGGAGGCTCTAGGACAGTGATAATCCATGACATTTATCAACTTTAGTCATCCGCAGCTTAAGGACCAATGGGCGGCACGGTGGCTGAGTGGATAGCACTCTTGCCTCTCAGCAAGAAGGTCCTGGGTTCGAGTCCCGGTTGGACCAGGGCCTTTCTGAGTGGAGTTTGCATGTTCTCCCCGTGTCTGCATAGGTTTCCTCCGGGTGATCCGGTTTCCCCTACCACTAAAAATATGTACAATAGGTCTGGCATGTGCCTCCTGTACTGGCACCCCCACTCCCAAAAATAACAATTGTAAACCGCTTTGAGACTCCGATGTGCAGTGAAAAGGCGGTATATAAATAAAGATTACTACTACTAATGGCTTCGTTTTTATAACTGCATTTTTTTTTAAAGCTTAAACCATTTGATTCACTAATATGTGTTAGCGAGTTGATAACTTTGTCCTCCAACTACTGGTCTATACAAAAATTAATTGAAATGGCATGTGTATGAAGGCCAAACAGAACTGTAATGGTGTTCAAAGCCAAGTCAAAAAGTGCAATATGGGACATTACAATTAGTACAATACAATCAGTCCTCCCCACTTCATATATTTTGTTGTAGTGTCTTGGGGAGAAAAAAAAACATCCGAACATAACTACCTGTTTGACCTCAACTTGTTTAAAATTTCTGTCACAATTTTCTTCTTTGGAGTGAGCACAGGGATGTGGGGAGTGGACCCTGTAACGGAGCGTGGGGGGGTCCCTGCCGACTCCTGGGGGCCAAAACTTGGGCTTTCGGGCTGGGTGGCTCGACGGGGACTCCTCCATTGGTCACAGTATACACGGACCTGACAAACAAATAACATGTTGCTTTAAATATACATCCATACATTCATCGGAACACCACAATACTTTGCAACATTGTCAATGGAGATGGACAAGATTTAAATGTCTAGAACAGTGTCTCCCAAAGTGGGGTCCGCGGCCCCCTGGTGGGCCGCGAGGGTACTGCAGGGGGGCCGCGGGAGGTCATAAAAAAAATAAAAAAATAATATAATTATTTAATGTTAAATTTATAATGTTTTGTTTGTAATATTAAAATATTTGTGTTCATTATTTGACTTGAATAATCCACTGTAATCATTTTTGTATTACAATGTTTGTAGCAGAGGCTATTTCCCCAAAATAAAATAACCAGAAGAGCCTATTCTTAATGTTGTCTTCTTGGTTATTATTTTGGGGGGCCACGCAGACCCGTCAGATTTTTAAGGGGGCCTCGGTGTTACTGAGTTTGGGAATGGCTGGTCTAGAATAATACTTTAGGTGCAATAAAACGCTTTATTATATGACTTGGACCGTACGCGCGCTCTGATTGGTTGATTTTGGGTCTGATATTTTCCCATCTCAGACCGTTACCATGACAATTGGTCCGAACAGCGCGTATCACATTTGATATCTTTCCACGGACCGTTACCATGACAATCGGTCTGCAGCGAGTATCACACAAAACCAAGTCGGACATGAACATACTTCACAAATATCTCAAAAGCATTGGTAAAGGCACAGACGAGAGTCATATAATAAAACATTTATTAACCTTGCTTGCTCGGTCTGTACAGAGAAATATCAGACCTTGGCCTTTTTGCACAGACCTCGCCACGGCTCGTTCTGTACACTAAGGTCTGATATTTCTCCATACAGACCTCGCGCTCGGTTAATAAGCCGTTAGTAATTTATAGGTTGTGTTGATATTCTAGAATTCTATTTCTGTTGGAGGGCAGGCGCTAATACAGCTGTGTAAAAGAAGCAATTTTCTGAATGAAAGACGTTTTCCCCAGATACTTGTACTCACAAACCAGTCATATTATTATTATAATGTTGGCCCGTCCATAGTACTTGCAAACATTATGCATGCGTTTTTAAGATAAGGCGCTTTAATGTAGAAATGTTCATGTTGATCACGAGTGTGCAAATAGATAAGAAATGTGCAAAGTGTGTAAAAAGTACAAAAAAAAATGTATATATATAATTTAGGGTATCTTGTAAAAAGGTATCTTAAGTACAGTTTGAAAAAGTGAATGACAGTGCATGGTTTGCAGTCTAGTGCAGGTTATTGGAGATAATTTATTATAGAAGAAATTTGGGTTCACGTGCTTTACAGTCACCACAACATTTACTCACACGGCAGTAGACATTTAAAAAAGACCAAAACAGACTCACGTCAGAGGAGAGCACAATCAGAGAGCTTTAGGACCAGAGACAAACGGAGTTGATAACAAGACATCGAGACGGAGGGAACCCCACAATCATTCCATACTTCCCTAAAGGGCAGTCTTCTATCGCACTTGCCCTAACCCCATGCTCCTGACGTTCCTAATGCTGCCCTACCCATTTCCTACCCGAGCTCTCAAAGTTTAATAAATGGATATTGTCTCTTATAAGAAAATATGTTATACACTGACAAAGAAGGACACACACGTTTTGTTACAAGTGAATTGGCCAAGATATTACAGAGCAAAAGAAATCTAACTCTTGTTCAGTTACCATAGTTACGGCCAAAAATATTTCAACTGCAGTGACACAATGTTAGGCACTGTTAGCACAAGATCATTCATCGCCACTAAAAGTTAGTTTACAATTATCTCATTCCTTATTTCAGACCATTTCTTTTGCACAAAACATTGAAAAGTGTGAAAACTGAAAAATTGTATGTAGAATCCACAGCTAGAAGCAAGAATAAAGGTTCTATGGCGTTAACAGAACACTCATAACAGACTTATGAGTGGACTTCTGAGTGTCTAGTTAGTAAATATATTTCAGTCTCTTAATATAGATATCTATTAATATATATCTATATTAATTAATATATTATATTAACTCTACGATATAGTCTACAAAGCATAAACAAATAACTGAAAAGGATTTGACTGAAGTATGTTCACTATAATTGTCACATTTCCTCACTAGGATCCAATCAAAAGTATAAATTCTAAACAAAACAACTTGATAATAGGGGAGTAGCAGATATGATTAAGTTCTAGTTCTTTAGAAAGATGAGAAGAGAAATTCAGATGTCCAGCAGAAGTTAACACATCCATATAAACACATAAGTACATGAATTATTAACATTTTTAACTAACTACCTAACAATAGTGCACATTTTAAAATTGTATTACTTTACATTTTCTTACAAATATTTTGACTGATTTTTCAATGTGTCATCTGCACTCTTCCAAACATCTCTAATAGACACACATCGTCCACTGGTGTTTGTTCTAACTTATGTTTTTGATTAACATTAGTTCCTCTTTAGATTGCGTAGTCTCTCACTACACAAATCAACTCTTTTTTCTTGAATAAAATGTGGAAGCTTGTGGTTATGAACTTTGTACACAACAGCCGAGTTGAGATACACTGACTAGATCATCAACTGTAATTTTAATATATTAAATTTAATAAACAATGGGTCTGTTGGGACATAATCTGCGTAATAAACTAATCTGACTGCTTTCTTTTGTAGTATACAAATGGGCTGGGTAGTATTGTAATATTCTCCAATAATTCTACCTTGTACAATAAATGGAGTAACTTTTGATTTACAACTACTTTAATAATACACATTATTCCCACACTTTTTGGATCATTTTGCAACCATAGACTGCATATCTGTGGTTGCAACATATAAGATTCAATATGTGGCTTTACAAATACGTTTCTGCACAAATATCAAGATACCTTACCTCTGCTTTTGCATTTATGAATATTTTCTTCTTCCTTAATGTCACTTTGTTGAATTTAATCAAAGTGGAAATGACGCGATAAAACGACGGGTCTTTTATCCCTTCCCTGGGAGAAGAAAGAGAAAGAGAATTACAACACTGTTTGGAAACAATCAGACCAAGTAGACTTGGCTGCTTTACCTGCCCTTAAACTCAGAGTCGTAAATGCTACGAAGTTCTTTTTTGTCAGTTATTGTCACTCTGTCCCCAAGAAACTCAATGAAGTCCAGTCCACATTCAAGGGACTCCTTGACCGCGGACGGCATGTTTGACCGCAGACCGTGAAGACTCAGGTTTGACAGCTCGGCATGGACCCGGACCCGGACCAGGAAGTGGACCTACGAGCTGCAGCTGGTCTGGAGCGAAACCACCATTAGGAAGTTTATAGCATGGATCTATGTTTTATAGGCGGGACGCATGGACTTCATTTCCGGTTACTTTCGTTTCTTTAGAAACAGAACCGAATCGACTGCAAATGTATACACTTATTCCCTTACGGTAGTGTGCAGACTGCGTATGTGATGTCCTACATGTCAGTACCACAGACTGCAATACTACTAGAACCCGGACATGTGTGTTATATGTAGCTTTAGTAGAGATCCAAGTCTTGTACCTGCTGCAGATCATGTGACCGCGCTTCTTCTGTTGTTCAGTCATGTCGACAACAGGTGGCGCCATTGTTCTTGTTTTTTTGTTTTTTCAAACTACTTGAACCATGGATGTATTAGACTTGAACACCCAGGGCAGTCATTTTGACGGCTCCCATTCAAATCAATGTAAAGCTAATTCTGAAAAAAATATCCTAAAAAAAAAGTTTTGTACTACTTTTTTGTATTCAAATGTAGTGATTCGTTCAGTTTTATCTTTAATACACACTATCGCTGGTTATTATAAATGAAGTATAGCTAAACTAAAAACCTAATACAAGTTTTATTATTCACCCACATTGCCTAGAGTAAATCTTATGTGTGCGTGAATGTGGTCGGAGACTGCACATACTGGTTGTGACTGGTTGTCATACTTGCTTCTGTCTGTGCCCCAGGGCAGCTGTGGCTACAATGGTAGCCTATCACCACCGTATGGAGTGAATGAATAATGACAAGTGAAGCGTCTTGGACTATATATTACTTGCTCCGAGCTGAGATTGCTCTGAACCAGCCTATGGTCGAGATAATTTAATAAACTACAGTAGAGTAAGAGAAAAAGTCACAAAGTCCAAATACAGCCTTGATCTTTCAGCGGGGGCTTCAGTCAAAGCAGGGTTAAATGTCTTGCCCAAGGACACAATTTCAGCAGATATCAGTGGGAGATGGTGGAGAAGGTTGAAGAGGTCTTGCTGTGGGTTTGAACCAGATCCATGGCTTCAACCCACAACCTTCAGAATTGAAGGCCAATGCTCCACCAACTGAGGCACTGTCACCCGATATAAATTGTTTTTTTTTAAATGAATCAAAACCTTTGCAATACCAAGCTAGAGATTTATAATTGTTTCATTATTATGCTAGAGTTAATTTAGTTTATAGTTATTTTTCATTTGTTTTGTGCTGTATGCTCCTCATTCTGGGTTTTTTAAGAGTTTTTTCCTTGTTGATGCAGGAGGGTCTTGTTGGACAGTTAGTGTCCAACAGAAAGGATTGGTGATGATCAGGACACTTTAGCATTCTACAACATGTATGGACATTTTCTTCTGTGTGTGCTTTATATTCTTCATGTGTTTTAACTGTTGATTCTCTGACCTGTGTTGGTGATTTCAATGGTTTTGTTAAGTCCTCTGAGATGACTTCTGTTGTGACCTAGGGCTATACAAGAATAAATTGTTTTGTATTGTATTGTATTGTATTGTATTCCTTATTTTCTATGGGATGAACAAAGGATCTCTTCTTAATCTTAATTTGAACAATGTTTCATGGTCCTTATTTGTTCAGTCCAAGTTTATTCCACGTCAGGGACGTGACTGTGGTTTGGCGCCGAGGAGCAGACGCTGGGAGTGGAGCGTATCGTGCGGGTAAAATATGGGGGACAATTAGGAGAATGGAAGGGAGTAAAGCTAGTTTTGGGTATCCAGCAATGTCATCTGGTGGAAGTGTAATTTTAACTAATAAAGGCAAGGCTGATCTTTTAGCTCAGCAGTTTGTGAAAGTCCATAGTAATGGAAATTTAAGTGAAGAAGAAAGGAGAGGAAGGAGGGAAACAGTTAGATGTAATTTGAATAGTCTTGAGGATGTGGAGGAGTGTGACCGTGTGGGCGGCACGGTGGCTGAGTGGATAGCACTCTCGCCTCTCAGCAAGAAGGTCCTGGGTTCGAATCCCGGTTGGACCAGGGCCTTTCTGAGTGGAGTTTGCATGTTCTCCCCGTGTCTGCGTAGGTTTCCTCCGGGTCCTCCGGTTTCCCCTACCACTAAAAATATGTGCAATAGGTCTGGCATGTGCCTCCTGTACTGGCGACCCCCACTCCCAAAAATAACAATTGTAAACCGCTTTGAGACTCCGATGTGCAGTGAAAAGGCGGTATATAAATTAAGATTACTTACTTACTTACAATGCAATTAATGATGAGTTCAGTATTTGGGAGTTGAACAGGGCATTAAGCAGATGTGGCAATACTACCCCTGGAGAGGATGACATAAGCTATGCTGAGAAACTTGAGTGATAGAAGTAAGATTGTGTTGTTAAAGTTGTATAACAAAGTATGGGTAGAGAGTAGACTGCCAGAGCAATGGAAAGAGGCAATTGTAGTTCCTATTTGTAAACCAGGTAAAGATCCTTCTGCTGCAGAAAGTTACAGACCAATAGCTTTGACATCACATGTTGGGAAGGTAATGGAGAAAATGATTAATGATAGGCTAGACTATTTTTTGGAAAAGAATGCGTTGATCAAGAATCACCAGTATGGTTTTAGGAAGGGTAGGAGTACAGTAGACCCTTCTTTGCTTTTAGAAGACGAAATTAGGAAGGCGCAGGTGAACAAGGAGTGCGTTGTTTCGGTGTTTTTTGACGTTGAGAAAGCATATGATATGATGTGGAGGGAGGGGCTGATTATAAGATTGCATAAGATGGGTGTACGGGGGAAGATGTTGAAATGGGTTAGAGATTTCTTATCAGGGAGAAAGATATCAGTCCGAGTAGGGACAGAGTGTAGCTCAAAGTATGAGGTTGAAAATGGCACGCCGCAGGGCAGCATTCTAAGTCCAGTAATATTTACAATTATGATAAATGAAATTTTTTGTGACATTGAGTCATCAATTGGAGTGTCACTGTTTGCGGACGATGGTATAGTGTGGAAAAGGGGGAAAAATGTACGGTATATTGTTAAAAAGTTGCAAGAAGCTATCGGGATGGTTGAAGCCTGGTCAACAAAATGGGGTTTCAGATTTTCAGTGAGTAAAACAAAAGTCATGTTTTTTACCAGGAAAAGAGTGGGAGATGACATTAATCTTACTTTATATGGGAAGAATCTTGAACGAGTGAATGTGTTTAAGTACTTAGGGTTAGTGTTTGATAGTAAGTTGACATGGGCAGCCCATATTAATAAGGTAATAGAGAAGTGCAAAAAGGTGATGAACGTAATGAGGTGTCTTAGAGGACGGGACTGGGGAGCTAGTCGGAATTGTATTAAAACTGTGTATGTGGCGTTAATCAGGTCTGCTTTAGACTTTGGATGTGTGGTATACGGCTCTGCGGCAAAAAGTAATTTAAAGAAGCTAGATGTTGTACAATGTAAAGCCTTGAGATTATGTTGTGGGGCTGCAAGATCCACTCCAGTCTCTGCACTGCAGGTGGAGATGAATGAGATGCCTCTGAAGTTTAGGAGATTGCAGTTGACCTTAGTGTATTGGGCCAATTTGCAGGGGAGCAGTAGAGATCATCCTTGTCAGAGAATTTTAAAACCAACTCAGGAGAAAGAAAGAGCGCAACTGGCCAGTTTTGGCTGGGTAATAGAGGAGGCGGTGGAGAATGCAGGACTAAGAAATCTAGAGGTATGTCCTGTAGTCCTAAGTTCTGCTGTCCCCCCGTGGGAGTTATTGGAGCCTCATGTGGATTTAACTCTTTTGAAGAAAAAGAACTATAATAATAACAATGTAGAGATGTACATCTGGGAGAAGTTTTCTGAGCATCTAGAGATTTATACTGACGCATCAAAAATGGAGGATGGGAGAGTGGGCGTTGCTGTAGTAATCCCTAAATTGGGAATAAACACCTGTAAAAGAACAAGTGATAACTTGGCAGTCTACACAGCAGAGCTGGTGGCTTTGTTATTGGCCATGATATGGATTGAAGAAAATGCGACAGTAGTAACTAAGGTAGTGGTAGCGTCTGATTCCAGTAGTGCGCTGTCAAGTATTAAAAGTTTGGTTTCAGAATCGAGACAGGATTTAGTTTTTGAGATAGCACTAATAATGCAAAGGTTAAAGAGAGCAGGGAAACAAGTGGTGTTATTATGGGTACCAGCGCATATAGGGGTAAGGGGGAATGAGATGGCGGACAGATACGCTAAAAAGGGCGCAAGGAGTGGGGCTCTGGATTTCCCTGTTAGAATAAGCAAGGCAGAAGTGAAAAGTCTTATCAAAGTTAGAATTAAAGAGATGTGGCAGAGAAGCTGGGAGGAGGAGGATAAAGGACGGTTTTATTTTAATGTGCAGCATCAAGTGGGACAAGAGGTAATAGGAGGAGAATTCAGCCGGAGAGAGGAAGACGTGATAACACGACTGAAATTAGGACATACCTACTTGAACGGTACATTAAGTTTAATGGGAAAACATCCGACTGGACAATGTGAGCACTGTGGAGGCAGAGAAACTGTTGAGCATGTCCTTATGGAATGTGTAAGATACAGAAGACCAAGAGAGTTGCTTAAGATCTATGTGAATGGGCACAACAGAACATTTTCTTTAAAAGAAGTATTGAGTGGGTGTAGTTCGGTAGGGGGGGTTAGAGTAGTTTTGCGTTTCCTTCGAAGCGCAGGGTTATTCTTTAGAATATAGAAGACTGAAGGACTGAAGGGGCCGTCCTGGCCCACACTCCATTTCGGAAGGTGGCGGTAATGCACCTCAAGGTTGTTTGCCAACCGCCAATAAACCTCAATAGGAGAAGAAGAAGAAGAAGGGTTTCCGGTGTCATGGTGGCAGCGTAGACAACACGCTCTCCCCAGTACAAAACTTTTCATGTAACTCCTTGGAAATGGGATAAAGCCGGTGCTAACACGAGACAATACTGCCAAAGTGCATATTAATGAGGAAAACGAGACAAAACACTGCTGCGAAGCAAGCCATTATGACGGACTTAAACAAGGAACTTGGCGTGGAGAATTCCGCTCTCGCCAAAGTCATCGAAGAGACTATGGCAAAATTCTTCAAAGAAGCGGACGACAAATCCGAGGCCCGTAGTAACAGATTAGAAAAGCGCATTGAAAGCATGCATTCCATTCTCTGCCGTCATACTGACGAAATCAAAACTTTGCGTGCTGATACAAACATGCTGCAGGAACGTATCACGCAAACTAACAAGCCCCAAAAGTCATTGGAGGCAAAAATCACCGAGATGGAAGACAGATCTCGCAGAGACAACCTTCTTATATTCAACCTTAAGGAGGGAACGGAAGGGCCAAACGCTCGGGCTTACTTGATGGAGAGCTTCCCGAAGTGGTTCCCGGCTCTGGGGGCTGCCCCTCTGGAGATCATGAGGGCGCACCGTCTGGGCCCACCGCGGAGATCCACTGCTTCAGCGGACACTGGCCATAGTCATCGCCCGCGTCCTCTTATCCTGAAGTGCCTGCGCTACACCGAGAGGGACCTGCTGCTGAAGGAGGCTCGCAAACACGCACCTGAAGTCGCCGGGATCCAGTTAAAGTTCGCCGCGGACTACAGCGAACCCACGACAGCCCGCCGTAAATCATGCTACAAAATAATGCATGATGCCCGCACTAAAGGATTCGACGCGTTTCTTCTCTACCCCGCTACAATCAAGCTCCAGCGAAGCAACGAAAGCTATGTCTTCAAGGAGTCCACGGATGCTGAAGAATTCCTTGCGGCTGATAATCGTGACTAGCACAACAATGCAGGGTAAGATTGTCTATCTGATGGGTCCTTTGTTTTTGTTTTCTTTTTTGTACATGAATACGCCAGATGTCTTTTTTCCTTGTTTTTCTATTTTTATTCATTTTCTTTTATGACTTTCCTGGCTATAATAAGACATTGCACGTTGGGACATACGACAAAGCATCCCACCTTTTGTTATTGTAATGGGGAGATGGTCTAAGCTCAGATCATGGTTATCGGAACTGTCTTTTTGGGGGAATGGGTCTTTTTTCTTTGCGTTTTTTCAGGGGGGATTTTGATTTTCTTTCTTTTAATTACTTGCCATTGTAATCCTTTTTTATTTGTTTGTGTGTGTGTGCGTGTGTGTGTGCGTGTCGTGGGGGGGTATTGTCTAGGTATCTTTTTGTTTCTCATGTCCTGTCACATACTACATATATATTATAAATGGATAAAATTAATGTTCTTTCAGCGGGGATAAAATTAATGTTCTTTCAGCGTTTCTGATTTGTCCCACGCTGGATAAAATTAATGTTCTTTCAAAGGTATGAAGGAAGGAAGTCCCCCTTCTCTAGTTTTTGAACAAAACTCTCTGGTCTTATTGCGATCACTGAATATTGACAATTGGAAGGAACAAAATGTGTCCTTGATGTATCCACCCGGAAGTAGGTAATCCTATAATATTTTTCTACCTTCCGGGAAAGAGACATTTTCAGAAAAACTTCACAGTTTTTAAAGGTATACATCCTTTAAAACTGAAATTATTCTGAAAATGTCTATTATATCGATTTCCTCATCATTAGGATTTTCTTTTTATAGAAACAAATTGGTCGAACAACACATGATATGGACAACTAAGGATGCCATTGAGCAAAAATAGACAACTGACCGACACAAAACAGCAGAGTCATATAAGACTACACTGAAAGCCAGACTATCAAAACGGTTATGTTTGACTGCAGAGATATTTACCAACCGTTCACGAACGAAGACTTGTTTCAGGGGGTGAAATGTAAGTGTTCAGATCCAAGCCTGCAGAGTGGGACAACTCAAAACGCGTGCACAGCCGGGGAGCTCTTCACACCCGCGAGAGGGTATAGGTGTGAAATCCCCCTCTGCGCGGAGAACCCCCGCCTCCTCCCCCGCTGCTCCCCGCACGTCTAAAAAAAGAAAAAAAAAAAATAAAAATAAAAAAAAAAAAAAAAAAAAAATAAAAAAAAAAAATTTTGACATGGCGCAGTAGCGGTGAAACAAACATCACAACTAATGGCGCCGGCACACAAACCTAGCTACGTTGGGCTTCCTCGCGGCACAGATGAGAATTCTAACACCTTCGTTCGTCCACACGAGACCAGCGGATCTCTAGGTTCAGTTTTTTCATTTTCACAGCTGCTGTTTAAAATGCAGAATGATGTTTGGGGCATTCGAGGGTCTGGGCACAGGATGTGAGATTACTAACGAGAGGGGGGCTGGCATTGGGGCTGGGGACGTGGAGTGGTTGTAGAAGTTGCCTCTGCCCACTACTGGCCAAGGGGGGCGCTAGAACTACAATCGTTTTCAACCTCATGGATAACACTGAGAAATTTGCATTAAGAGCCATGTTGGTTTCTGTTAATAGCCTGGAAACGTCTGCGCACGTCTCAGTATAAACAGGGCCTTCGAGTAGTACTTCAGGTCCATTAAACTAATTTCTGTTTGTCACGACCGGCTTTTTAGTCTCCAAATCGATCAACCTCACCTGTGGTGGACATGTGGTCAAGCATTTTTCAATGGTCATCTACAGCCCCTAATGGAAAACCAGGTAGCATATTAACGGTCTCTTCACTCCTATAAAGAAAAGAGATTTTACTTTTGGTAAAAATGTTTCATACTGGGGGAAAAATGCAGCATATTTTTTCCTAAGTATTACATTATTCATTGGTTTCTCCCTGGATGAAGAAACTACTTGAGAAACATATGTCTCCTGTTTGTACTTAGACTTTAAAGAACTTATACGGGTTTGTTTTTTTTAAAAAAAATAGTGGATATCAAAATTGCATGACAATGTCCAATTTGAAAGAGATTCCGCAAAAAAAATCCTAGTAATTTATAAAATGAAGCGTGTTTTCATGATTTACGTGTCTATGCTCCTAACACTGTGTGGGTGACGTCATAGCGGTTACGCCCATGCATTGAAAACCATGGATCTATGGCCCTGTCCACACAAGTCAACTAAGCCTAAACGCAAAAATACTTTATCAATCCCTGTGTACGTACCATACGTGGCCGGCGTTTTGGGGGGTGTAAACAACATTTTTGATAACTAGGTCCCAGATGAAAGAATTCAAAACTCCGTATATGCGCCCCGTGTTACTAGACTAACTTCTTGCCTCTCCGCAATGTATCGAGACCTTGCGTCTCGCCCCCGCCTCTTGTTAAAGCACGCAATGCGCCGCACTCAGAAAGAATTTAAATGACAACAACAATGTAGCTTGTTGGTTTGTAATCCAGTGTTGACCCGAACGCAACAGTTCACTCATCGGTGCCGTTCCATACTAATGGTGTACCAACTCGCCCCTCGCCATGTTGTCTGGGTACAAAAGTCCCGCATGCCACGGAAGTTTGGGCTTGATCCGTCTTGTGCGTCACAGCGCCACCAACAGGTCTGGCATAGTTTCACCAAGCGTTTTCCAGGCGTAATTGACTACATTCATATGGTCGCACACATTTACTGAGCTAACTCCGTGTTTAGCAGAAAAGTTTTCGAAATTATAAGCGTTTTGTCTTCGTGTGGATAAGCCTATGCCACAGGTATGCCTTTTCTCTACTCGTCGTCCACTGATGCCCTTCACTATATCTGCCCCGCTCTACTGTGACAATTGCTCACTGTACACATACATTGCCTTTTGAGTGTGAAAAAAGTGTCCGAGGTGGGAATTAACCCAAGTATCTAGATTGACAATGGCCATCAATCACAACCAATGAACTATCTCAGTGACGCGAAAAAATGTCACATTCTAGTAGGTATTCATACTCGCTGTCACACGCCTGTCATCTTGAATATCCGCGAAAAAGAACGAATATCAAATGTAAACAAGTTACAACAGCGGTGAAACGTACCCGCGGTTACTGACGTCACCAAGGGCTGTGAAGTTTGTTTTCGTTTCTAAGGCGTTGCTATGGGTTATTCGTTTGGGGGGATCAGACAAAAAAACAACAACTATTTTGAAAACCTTTTAGTAGTTGTACTCTTTCTATATAGTAATGGTATTAAAACTGTATTCTAATTAAATCAAACCGCGTCATAAGGCTTTAATGTGTTGTTTGGTGTGGGCGTTCGTGCGTGTGTGGGTGTGTGTAGCCTCGACCTCCTGCATCACTGTCCCTGTCAAAGCTCAGATTGATGTTGTCCAGCCTAACATTGCATGTGCCATTTGACAGCAGCCAGAAACGGAGGCATCAATCACTGGCTTCCACATCATCACATTTTAACAGTGTTATTAACATTTTCATATAACAAGAACGCAGACAAGAAACCCATCACCAGTATGAAGAATACAGTACGGGGGTTTGGGATGTATCAGCTCTATACAAATTCTGTTGATGCTAAGTAAATGTAACGTGTATGCTACTAAAAGACAAGATGTTAAAAAGATATCTTATTGAGGGTGTCATCTCTCTTAGGAGAGGTGAAATGGCTCAGTTGTAGACCATTGCCTTTGAGCCTGAAGGTTTGTGGGTTCGAGCCCAGCACGGGACCATGCTTTCCACTGACTCCATCAAATTTTGCCAAATTGGTTCCAGAATGTACCTGACTTGATAAAAAAGAGAAACTGCATTGAAGAACTATAAAAACTAGAAGTCTGAAACGTTACACAGTTGTTGTCAACAAACACATGGAACAAAATTGGCGTTTAAATTTCTTCTTCCAATGAAAAAGAGCTTTTTTTTAGGGCAGTTATACAGGGAATTTTTTTAGGCATGGCTATAAAAAAACAGGTTTTTTTTTTTCCAAACGGCCTAGGAGCAGAGGGAAATAAGTATGACACTACATTAGTTTCCCAGTGTATAGTTTACATAAACTAGGATAGGGCCTAGCTTTTAAAATGATGCCATCACACATGCATGTAGATTGTATGATGTGTTTTTAAATAAGCTAAAGACATTAGGTATGCCAACTTTTTGTGCACGAGCCCAAAACAGAATGTAGGCAGTTTAAGAGGTTTTAAACTCTCCAAACGGTTAATCTTGTCACTTCTATAGATGTCCACCTGTTTCGGATGTTGAACCTTGCCAGGTATTCCAGTGGTAAACGCAAACAATCCAATTTAGCTTGGGCTTTTGAGTTTGTCTTTATCGTTTTTTTTTTTCTCTAACAGTGATTGCATAGTGTTGTTGTAATATAACTTTAGCTTCACTCTTCACAAGATGACTGATGACCCACCGGATTGGACGGCAGAAACAGGAAGAGACACATGGGAAAGGACAAACAATAAAACCTAGCAAAGGTGAGTGGATGCAGTGATCAAGGAGAAAAATATGGAGTAAAAGCAGGTGAAGGTGCAATATAGGATATTATTACGGCTTGATCTAGGACTCAACTCATCATTTGTCAAGAAAGTGCTCTAGATAAAACTATATTTTCCAGGTAGAAACAATAGCACTAATGATAGCATATATACAGTTTACACACACCGGGTAAAATGTGACGCGGACATTTCCACTCACTTTTTCACTTTCTTAGGTGGTTGTATGAAGCTTACACTGTAACTATGGAAACTTTCTGGTCCCTGATTAGAAGTTGTCCTTCATTCAGGTGTGCATCAAATCTATGGACAGCTTGGAGTATTTTGTGATAGTTGTGGAGAAATGTGTTTTATCTTCTTATGAGTGGTAAAACTGCTATTCTACCTCCTGGACCTCTTCTAGGAGTGACGTTAATCTCCACAGATTGCTCAATTATCTTGTACTTATAACTTTCAGTGAACGACATGGGCAGGGTCTCCAGCAACTCTCCGCCACCTAGGTTACATG